TTTAAAATAGTCCACCCTACTTTACTTACCGGTTTATTGGAACATGATCTTGAATAAGTTGATTCAATTCGTATCACGTGTTCACCGCAGCTTCCATCACGTCGTTTATTCAACGGTCAACCTATATCAAATTTAGCAACAGGGGTCGCTCTTTATTATTGCGACAAAAGACAAACTGTTTCAATCTTTCATCAAATCCACTTGTCTCATTTGGACTCAAAATCAAATAACAGATGAAATATGAATTTGCTTTGCGACAACAACAAAACTTAATAAAATTTTTGATAAAATCACCAACCGCTTCCTTTCTTTCGTTTACGATGGGTGCAACCGCTAACTCCACTTTTAGCGCCCTAACTCGAGTAATAAAATTTCAGAAGGACTTTTTGCGGCTTTGAATGGCCTACAATATAAATTCGGATGATTTACATCAACCAGAAACCCCTATAAAGCAAAAAAAAAAAAAAAACAAAAAGGGTGCTACCGTATCCCAACAAAAAAAACACAAACCGGAATTACATCCTGACAAAAAATGATGTTTTGAAGAGAGCTAGATCCGAGTCTCAATTTCCCACTTTGATTTCCCAAAATGTACAGGGTGTCTCAGCCACAATTTTCTCAACAATACATCATAAGCAATCAGTAAAAAGAACAATCCTGGAGAATAAGTGAGTTAATTAATTTAAAACAGTTTTACAGTCTTGTTCTTTTAAATCCTGAAATCAAATGCGACAAAATCAAAAAATGAAAATAAATCTCCTGAAACAATAACATTTTCATTCCCCCCATATTACATTATGCAGCAATTTCTGTTCACCCAATACATCAAATCTCCCTCGCACTTCCTTCCTTCGCGTGGTGCATTACCCTCTCACCTTTTTATCGCCTTTTCTTTTTTCTTCTAATGAATACATTAAATCGAGAATTGGGGAAAAATTCGTGACGAGTCCATTCGACACGCACTTTTCCCCTCCCTCTCACTTCAACGTCAAAATTCTTACGATTTTTCCGACAAAAACAACGCAATCCTCCAATCAATAAAATAACCCGTCATCGCCGTTCCCTAATTGAAGTCCCTTCCCTTGACACATTTACCGCCGAATGAAAACGTCCTAGTCGTCGTCGCCGGTCCGAAGGTAATGACGTTAAGGCCTTTGGAATTAAATTCCGACCCGCATAATCCGGCCGGAACTTTGGCGACACTTCCGACTTGCCAATCACCCACGACATGATGAAAGCTGAGTAATTAGGCGATTAGTTTTAGTTGAAACGCTAAATCTTCAATGTAATTTTTTTCTATACAATGTGACCTAATAACGCAAAGCCGCAAACAGATGCCTCGACTTTTACGGCACTCTCGGTCGTTCATCAAAGATAATAAAAGACAGGTCGATATTCGGCAGGCAGACGGACCCTCGACTTCCTTTCAAGAGCATTGTTATGCTCATAATTACTTTGTACACAGGATAATGGGGTGCTGTAAATTTTGTTCGGATTTGTGAAACTGACTTCGGAACGGATGACGGATTTATGACCAGCTATGGGACAAAAGAGTGGGTAGAAGAAAGAAAGAAAAGATTACCGAAATCGAGGACACGAACGTGGGGCGGAAACACACAAAAAACGACCATCCTAGAAGCTTTTTTACAAATGTCAGGGTAAAAAATGATTAATCTCTGCTCGAGCTGTTACTTTCAGTTATCGTCTTTTATTAAAGAAAAATTCATAATCGACGGATTTTTAATTATTTTTAATTGGACGAGGGTGACTTTACTTTACCCCCGAGCGAAATTAAATCTTCATGAACAAGCAGTAAAAATAATTTACGATCGCGAGTATGGCACAGTTTCCAACTTGTTTGTCTCGTAAATGTTACTTTTGACATTTGTTATCATTGCGGTTATGAAAATTTTGTTTGGAACACAACCACTCAAATCTGATATACAACTTGAACAAAAAGTATGGAACCAAGCGGGTTTTTTGCTTTCAGAAAATAATAATAATAATTAAACTAAAAAAATGTGTGTTTTGTGTGTTTTTTAGTTATGAGTTTTTTTTCTCAGAAGTGCAACTAACAAAAAAAATTTTTGCAAGAAAAACAAAAATTTTGCAGAACAAAATCAAAAAAATTAATAGTTTAAGCAAAAAACGTTTAGTTCCATACTTTAATTTACCTAGTATGTATAACCACAAAGAAAATCAAGCCTGTCATGAAAGTCAGTTGTCAAGAAAAACAACAAATAATTTGACATTTAAAAAAGATCAGATTGGCGACTGTCAAAGGCTAACCACCGCAAGTTTTTAAATACGCTGTAGCCAGTCAATAAACCAATAAACAATGTGTTTTTTTGACACCTCGTATATTCAACTCGTAACAAAACATGTAAATCGATCAGTAAACTTGTCCGTCATGGCCAACCAGAACATTATTTTTCAATAATTGATGACAGCCAACCCGTTTCGTCACTGCCAACCAGCAAGATTTAATGATTACATTCGCACTTTATTAAGAATCAATAAAATCGATTTGTATTTTCGGTTGGCAACACTTGATAGATATTACAAAATTACATGATAGGAATCAAAGGAGTGTCCAAAATTATTTATTGTATGTTATTTTCATTCTAGTAACGTCAACGAACATTTATAACTTCATGAATAAAATGTTTAATCTGTATTTAGTCGCCTAATGAATACTCCGAAGCTAATTATAAGTAAAAGTAGCGCACATGACCTTGTAACGCAATCAAATCGAGACGAATCAGCACAAAAACGACGACTATTTAAAAATTAATTTATCTGTTCGTTGTACAAGGAAATAACAAGATTATGTAATTTAAAATTTATGACTTAAAACAATTTCAGTAAATATTATCTCGTGATTATTATGCACACAGCTAATAAGACAATTAATGTTATATCTCAAAGTGAAAGTCGAGATTAAAGAGATGAAAGAGTAATAAAACAAATTAGAAAGCTTCCAACTGTAAATTGTAATACATTCGAATTAATTTTTAAAAGTGATGACCAATCGATGTCACATTTTTAGTCATTTTCCTTCGATTAATCGACTAAATAACCACGAATTAAAAGGCAATGACAATAAGGCGTTTCTGTGGTTTTCGAAAACAAATTTTGGGCAATTTGGGTGATGAGAGCACTAAGTAGGAATTTCTTTAGTAAATTTATTTACAATTTTCAGGCAGTTATTTTGTGGTAAGCTATCATTCGTCAAACAAAGTCAGATATCAACCTATTTTTAGTAATTTATTGATAATTAACTGATAATTATATGGATGAATTTCTATAAAAAAATCACTTTCTTTATCTTCAGTGTGTTATTGGTTTATTTTTAGGCTTTTTAATTATTAATTTATTAAACATAACGAAATAAAAGTGTCTTTTGTGAATACATGTTTTAACAATTTTTTTAAATAAATTGAAAATCAATAAAGAAGACAATAAAATAAGAAATCAAAACAATAACAATATACAGGATGTGTCAGAACTCGCGCCCTAGACAAAAATTTCAAATAAGGAGGCATCCATTATTAATTACGTAAGGTGTTTAGGGGGATGCGACGTCGAATCAAATTTCACTCAGTCTCAGATTAAGGAAAGGGGGGGTCTACGCTAAAACAGTGTAAAATTACGAGAAAATTGGGTTAAATTAAACAAAACATGTCTCTTCATTAAAATATGGTTAAACCTTAGTATATTAAGCAGTTTTTTTAGAATGAATCCAACGCATTTACACTAAAAACCAACAATTTGAAAAATCTCACGTGAGATTTGGGGACGGAGGAGAGGATCGAGCCAAATCTCACGTCTCACCATGAGGGGAGGGGGTGTCGAACAATCGCCAAAAATGCGATTTTTTTAGGGGGCGCCCCCTAAAGATAAGAAACCAGAAATACGGAAAAATTCTATCTGTCAAAAAAATTTTAAACAAAGCTTCCTTGTTTGCTCTTTTATTTTTTTTTATAATAGCGGGTAGCAAAAAAAAATATTTATTCTCCGACACTGTCAAAATTTACGGTTTTTCTCCCGTGTAAGGAAGTTTTGACAACTGTTTGGCATTTCTCAATACAAAACGTCAAATTATTTTTAGCAGATTTAAAGCAAGTTTAAGCCTTGTTGACTCTAATTCGAAGAATAAAATGTTGTATTCCACTCGTTTGAGTGTAAATCGGACGCTTTATTCCACCTCGTGGATGGTAAACCACTCGGTCAAATAAAGAGTCCGATTTACACTCAAACTCGTCGAATAAATAACTATTTCCAACAGAAATAGAGTCAAAGTGCAAAATTTAAACTGTCATAACTTCCAAATTTTTATAGATAGAATTTTTTTAACATTTTTTCCATGTCCCTGATATCTTACCTTATCTCTGGGGAGCGAGTTTTGGCGCACCTGCAGATATTTTAATATAAAATAAAATTCACAAGACAAAATAAAAATTAAATAATAATAGGCAATTTGAATTTAGATACACACTTTTTTTTTTTTTTTTTTTAGAAAAATGCCAAAATTTAGGGAGTTAATTATTTTATTTTGTACTCAATGTTAAAGAGTGCTTTTGTCAACTAATTTTAGTAGAATAAGTAGTCTTTTATGGTCTAGTGAAATAAAGTAATTTTTATCTACTGTTTATATTCAATAAATTCTGGTAGGTAGGTGCGTACAAAATAAAACGAAATATTATACACGACGATAAAGATCGTCGTGAAAAAAGTCCACTCGTGACTTCGTCACTCGTAAACTTAACCTTTTCACTCGTAGATAAACAATTTCTTTATCGTCTTGTATAATAAATAACTATCTAAACATCTACGTCCTACCACCAATATCAATATTGTATGTGCATAAAAAAAATCTGTGTGGAAACTTTTTTTGTAAATGAGCTCCTCGTTGGTTATCTCGGGAGCCCTTGTTATGTTATTGCGGGTTGGTTTATTTATCTAACACCCTGTATTTGTTTGTTTATTGTTGTGTTTACCTTATGTACATGATGGATCCGTTGTTGAGGATCCTCTTCCAGCCGTAGGGCACTGTGATGGAAGGCTGTTGCGCGGCGGGAACGGCGGTGGCGGCGGCGACATTGGGGTGGTGTTGGACGCCGGCCCCCACGAACACGACACCGGGTCTGACACTAACACTGGGATCATACACCACCATCTCTGGTTGATTGTTCTGTACTACCACCATCCCCTCGTCGGCCGAGCTCAAGCTGCTGCAGCTCGACTCAGCCGTTTCGCTCCGCACTGAATCACACCGCACACTCTGCGGGGGCCCCTCGGCCCCCATGACCGTCACATAGGCCGGATCGTAGTCGCACTCCTTGGCCGGGCGCTCCTCGTATCCGTACCCGTTGGAGACGAAGTAGCCCTCGGGGTAGTCGGGCCGCTTCTCGGGATAGGGCTTCGGGGGGCCGTACTGGGGCGCATTTTGCCCCCCGACGGCGTACGCTTGGGCGAAGTTGTCGTTCGACACGTACACTACCACATTCTGGACGCCGGGGGCGGGCGACAGCTCAGGCTTTCCTGCCATCGTGACAGCATAACGGCGCTCGCGTCGAGCCCCCTGCTAGCCCCCGCTGAAAAATTTTCACGCATTTAGGACGAGGGAAAGTGAAACGATGGAGATCATAGCTTTACAACAGGCTATAAAATTTAAAGCCACTACTATGACAGCTGTAAATAACACCCGGACGATAGATTATTTACCTGCATCTCGTCTCTGTGTACTGAGAATAGCGACGACCAGCGATAATTACCATTACAATCTCTTAAAACATCGATTTGAGGAGGATATTCTGCGTTTTAATTTCACCGTGGTTAACCCAACACCTGCTTCCAACAAATTACGTTCCATTCGGCTGAAATAATTTCAGTTTGGGCATTTTCAGCTACTAGAAGTGGAAGGCGAAGACAAAACGCGGTTTTAACAACTTACAACACCTATTTTATTGGGATTTATTCGCGCTAATGTTATGCGCCGCGTAATAAAACTCGACACTGAAAATGGAAACCATCTCACACTCCCAGAAATCTTTGCGGTGAGATCCATTATGGACTCACATGCGCCTGCGTAACTAAAACAATACTCTACCATTTAAATTTGAACAGATTTTATGGCATTTTACCCCATTTTAAGTGCCCAATATAAAAATTTGCACAAAAAACAATAAACATCAAATTTTGCTATCCTCATACCAATACGTAACAATATATAAAAGTAATGATCACTTCTATTTACTTTAATGATCACAGTTGCAAATTGTTTAAAAAATATATTTTCAGTCAGAAATCTTATTTGACACTTTTTGGTAAATTGTCCCTAAAAAATTAAACATTAATGGCAATCGAATTCGATAAATGCCACTGATAATGTTTTGCAGTAAATTTGAAAACTTCACAACTATGTAAAAAAAACAAATTGTACAATTTGAAAATTATTATTTGTTTTATCTCAAAGAAATTTATAGCCATAGTTTATATTTATTTATAATTTAAAAATTTACTATTACAATTACAAGGCCATCTGAATCAAAAAGCTACGCTTATCCTTATATATATAAGGGCAGCTTTTTGATTCAGATGGCCTTGTACAATTAAAAAAAGTTGCACCATCTATGCTTAACCATTAAAAACAGTCTTACCGATAAAGTAGAGTTCTACTTTAAAATCGCGTTTATCAGGAAATATTAAGAATCATGAAAATTTTTTTCCTGTACTTTGTAGAATATTTTGTAAAAGGTAGCAAAACAACTCATTAAACATAAAGAAACATTTATTCAAAATATCGTGGTAAGACGCCTCAAATAAAAAAATAAATACCATGAAAAACTGATCAATTTTACAAGTATTTAGAAGACCGTAAACAATTACATAAAGCCACATCATACATTCAGAACGGAACCAGCTGCTGTCCCTATATTATGTTTAAATAATTACAATTACTTATTAAAATTGGCTACTAACACAATTTCGTCTATGCTATCAAGATGTCTATATCAAAGTCCCTTAGTAATACTCGAAAATTAATTAGCCGCACATTGGACCCGTTGTCCCGGCCCATGCATCTCGTCATCTTCATCATAAACATTCCTATTCTGCCTCCTCCTCGAATCTTGCTTATCCACATCAAACGGCAACAAAATACACTCTTCTGCCTGATCTGGGATCATGATTTCAGGCCGTGGCGGCAACGCATTTTCCAGCGCCGGTATCACCTCTGGTGGCAACTTATCCGGAAACTGTACCAAAAACTGTACGATAAGACGTCCTTTCTCAAACGGATTCTTATACTGCGGCATTCCCTCGTTCATGATACACTTAACATCCCCGTGTTTCGTGACCTCGCCCGGAAGCGATGTGATAACCAAATCGCGCTCGTCCAAAGTCCTGATTACTTTTTGGAATCCGCAAAGCGACTCTACCAACTGCAATTCGATGCGAATTATGAGATCCAAACCAGATCGTCGAAAAACTGGATGTTCTTTTTCTTCCAGTACGATTATAATATCGCCAGGTTCCAGTTCCGGTTCTTGGTCCCCTTCTCCATTAAAAACGATTTTTTGGCCGTCGACCATGCCCTTGTCCACGTGGACTTCGAGAATTTTGCGTTCACGAGTCACTTTCTTGCCTTGGCATTGCTTACAACGGTCTTTGGGATTGATGCGTTGACCTTGGCCTCGGCAATCCGAACACATGCTCTGGATTTGCTGGATCATGCCTAAAAATTATCGCCGCTTTATTCATCTAATCAAACGACTTTCAGTAATGACATGCAAATTTAAAGCGACATGATATTGCAAAATTGAAATTTTACGGATTTTATGAATCCATAAAATGAACAAAGTGGGTGTTGCAATAACACTTCCACAATAAATTACTAATCATAAAGTTGTTGTTTACTAACATTAGAGTTTCCAACTCGAGATTTTCCAGATAAAAATTAATTAAATGCATTTTTATTATGTTTATATCATAAAAGCTGAAAAAAACATACTCTCCTAATTCATCAAAATTAACTTTTTGGGCGTTCATTATAAAAATGGTGATTCTATGGCCCGTTTTGCAGCCGTAGTTTTACTTTTTTGTACACAACTGTCACCCATTTTAAGAGGATCAAAACAGACGCAAAGTCGTTTAATATTTAATTTAACAGACGCTTTTGTTTTTAGTTGTCTAAAGTTGTCAAAAGTGCTTTTTTAGCCTCATCTGAATTGTAGCCTCGGCCAAAGCCTCGGCCGAAACAACAGACCAAAAAATCACTCTTATTACGGCCTTGATAGATACACAAATAACTGTTATTTATAGTGCTTTCCTTCACCACAAATATTTGATCAGTTCACTTTATATCAATTATCAAATTGGCTATTTTAAATTTCAGCCAATCACAAATCAACGTGATTCGATTGAAAGTTTGATAAAAAGAAAGCTACTAATATTTAATGGTACACAAAATCAGATATTCCGTTTGATCGACCTGTTTTATAAATGACATCAGTTTCAGCTTAATAGCTGAGCTTTTCCTGAAATGGATTGACTGATGTTATCGATATCTTATACATAATAACAGTAAACTCACAATCTAAAATTTACAATTTTCTGTAACATGGAATAATAACGATAAACACATTTCCGAATAAATAATAAAAAAATACCAATAGGTTAAGTAGATTCAGTCAATAGTTTACTTTATACCAAAAACTATCACAAAATATTACAAAAAAGCTTAATTATTATTATTATGACAGCTAACATTTTAATTTTCCAGTTTTCAGTTATAAAGCATTTTTAAATATTGATGTAATCCCTGTTTAATTTTTTTTATTGTAACGTTATCTTTGTCCTTTTGTCATACAAAACAAAGAAAGTGCGTAATCAACTAATCACTTGACAAAAATTTAAAAAAAAACACTAAAATAAATTGGTATAAATGACAGCAAATTGACTTCGTTGTGCAAAAAACTTGTGTAACATATTCTTTGTTCCTTTGTCTCATCAGGCTAATGACCTTTATTATTTAGTATAGCCATATATTTTTTCTTAAAATATGTATAAATCCATTACAAATTCAAAATACAGATTTTTTTTTAAATAATTATATTTCCATTTTACAGTTTCCTTTTTTATCAAAATTATCACTTTCAAGATTAATCTAATTATAGGCTTTTCCTTATTGTTACTGTTACTGACTGTCTATTATTAGAATGAATATGTAAACAGAACGTCATGGAGGAATTGATGAAAATAATAACAAAAAATCAAAAATTTAAGCAAAAATGTAAAGTTATAAGCACAAGTCATTATGACAATGACTATACTTAAACACGCTGTCTCTGTTTCATAGCAAGTAGATCCACTTTTTTTTTATTAAAGACTCGATTAAAAACTGTGTTTCTTGGGTCATTTCTTTTTGCCACGTTTGCACCCCTTATCAGCCCACTCGACATGGCCGCTTTATCTCCTTACCTGGCCCTAACTGCTGAATTTGCACCTGCATGCCGGTCCCCCGACACGTGGGACACGTCTCCACAGCCCCCTTCTTCCCACCCCTGCCTTCGCACTTATCACAGATGACGTTTTTCTGTAGAGCCAATTTCCGGACGGTTCCTTTGTACAACTCCTCCAGAGAAACATTAAGTTGATGAATGACATCTTTGCCTTTACGTTCGCGACGTCGCCCTCTGCCACCCCCAAAGCCACCTCCGCCGAAGAACATATCGAACAAGTCCATGGGGCTGGAGAAACCACCCGAAACGCCGCCCTCTTTAAGGGCCTGTTCGCCCCCTTGGTCATAAATGCGTTTCTTTTCCGGGTCGGACAATACCTCGTACGCTTGCGAGATTTGTTTGAACTTTTCCCCCTCGTTGGGGTTCTTATCGGGGTGGTATTTAAGGGCGAGTTTTCGGTAGGCTTTCTTAAGATCGTCCTGGGTGCAGCCTGGCTTAACGCCAAGGATGTCGTAGAATTTCGTTTCTTTTACCATGGTTGTAGTTCTGGAAGAAAGAGGAAATTAGGGATTTCTGATGAACATTGGAAACTTCAAATTACCTCAGAAATAATCAATATTTCTGGAACGGGGATCACAACTCGCGGATTTTTTTTAAGTTTGCACACTGACGCAGCACAAAGCAAAACTGGTTCTAAAGCGCGTGTTCAGGAATAAAACTCACAACCACGAGGTTCTGGAAAATTCGACGAAGAGAAAGGTCGTAGACGTAACGAGATTACGAATTCTAGAATCTGACAGAATGCCCTCTGCAGGCCTACTCGAGCATTAACTATTCAAAAAGTGGCGCTTTTTCAGAGTTTATACAAATTCCATCCACAACACTGTTTGTTGTAACTATTTTCACTTTTTCTAAAAGTAATTAAAAACCTAAAGTCGTTTCTTTTGCATTACGACTACATCTGTACATACATCTTTCATGTTATTTTAGAAATACTATAATTTTTAGGCTTTAAAAAATCTACGCAAACAGGAACACAACTATTTTACGCAGTTTTTCAAATATTTTACTTATCAATCATTAAAAAAAAATAATCAATCATGAGTGTTTAGCAAGGTGTTTAGACTGTTTAGAACCACTGGTACGTTTTCTAACCCCATTTTTTTTATAACCTCTCTTTTAATGTTTCATTAGTTTTAAAATTCTTTTTAGTAGTGAAGAAATGATATGTGAAGACTTTATTCCCACGAGAGGTTCTCTCAAAAAAGGTACAAAATTAACTGATTTTAAGTCAGTGTCTTTTGAATCGTATAAACCGAAAAAACATGAAAAAACTGAAACAAGTAATGGGAGAATCCAGGAGGAAAAATCTGACGACTTTAACATAAAAAGAGCGAAACACGAAATTGTTAAATTTGGAATGTCGGGTTTTGATCCAGAAAAAAAGGAAGAAGCAAAAATTCAGTTGGCTATCAAATTAGGTAAAGTTTTTATTATTTATAATTGCGACTGTTTAAATTTGATGTGAAGAGGCACATAAGCAATTGCGAATTTTTATTAGTTTAAGAATAAATAGTTTGATATTTTTGCTGTTCGTGTGCTTTCAATTTCATTCAGTTTGACAAATACTTAACCCCTACTTTACATATCCCATATACACAACACAAATTAAAAAAAGTGACTGTAATAAAATTTGAATTTTGGAAGTGTCTTAAGTATACAGGTGTTACTTTTTTAGGAGCAAAACCTAAGAAAAACAAGTATAAAAACTACAAACTATTAAAGGAAGAACGTGCGAAACTTAAGCAAGAAGAATCATTAAAATCTCAATTTCAACAGTTGGGGAAAAATGCACTTGGAAAATCAACAGCTAAAGGAAAAGGCTTTGATCGGAAGCGCAAAAAAGCGAAGAGTGGATTATTAGAGGTGTATGGCAAAGTAAATTTGAAAAACACAACAAAATAAATATTTCCCCAATGAAATGGTTTTTATTTTAAATTTGGCGCTAGTTCTAGTGACTTTTTTTTTCAAACCGGCGTTGGCGCATTGTTCTGTATTGGCGCTTGTGATGGCGGCTGAATAAAGCAGAAAATGTTTTGAAACCTGTGACAACAATCGCAAAAAACGCAATAAAAGAGGATTTTCGCAATACAATATTGTGTTAGTGGTTTGTTACAATTTTCAAGGTATGCGACTTCGTAGGAATGGCATTTGCATGGTGTTGTTAATACGTGTTTCAGCCGCTTGAATTGCCACAAAATGATGCCTTTAGGGGGCACAGCCCCTGTCCATTCAACTAATGTGGCTCAACCGGCCCCAGCTACTAATAACTCCTTGACGCCGACAGGAGGTTCTAATAAATCCAGCAGTAATGTTGTGCGTAATTATAACCTTAAAGAGGCGCGAATTAATTACTGTATTGCAGAAACCCAATTACACCCTTAAGTTCACGCTAGCGGGACACACTAAAGCAGTGTCGTCGGTTAAATTTAGTCCAAATGGGGAGTGGTTGGCCAGTTCTTGTAAGTTCTAAATTAAACGGTTTTTTAGGCGTAACTTTGATTTTTAGCTGCGGATAAGTTAATTAAGATATGGGGCGCCTATGATGGCAAGTTTGAGAAAACAATATCAGGGCATAAGCTAGGAATAAGTGACGTGGCGTGGTCTAGCGATAGTAGATTACTAGTATCAGCAAGTGATGATAAAACTCTCAAAATCTGGGAGTTATCATCTGGGAAATGTTTGAAAACGTTAAAGGGCCACAGCAATTATGTTTTTTGCTGTAACTTTAACCCCCAATCAAATTTAATCGTTTCTGGTTCTTTTGACGAATCTGTGCGTATTTGGGATGTGAGGACTGGGAAGTGTCTAAAGACACTCCCAGCCCACTCAGACCCCGTCAGTGCGGTGCATTTCAACAGGGACGGGTCTCTTATTGTCAGTAGCAGCTATGACGGGCTTTGGTAGGTTTAAAAACTAATTATCAGTAAATCAAATCGGGGTTTTAGTCGTATTTGGGACACAGCGTCTGGGCAGTGTCTAAAGACACTAATCGACGATGATAACCCCCCAGTATCATTTGTTAAATTCTCGCCCAACGGCAAATACATCCTTGCTGCGACTTTAGACAACACTCTCAAACTCTGGGATTATGCAAAAGGCAAATGTCTGAAAACATATTCAGGACATAAAAATGAAAAATATTGTATTTTTGCAAACTTTTCCGTTACTGGTGGCAAATGGATCGTTAGCGGGTCTGAGGATAATTTGGTCTACATCTGGAATTTGCAAACAAAGGAAATTGTACAAAAGTTGCAAGGACACACAGGTAATACATTATTTCTCGTTATTTTGTGTAATAGTTTTTTTTTCAGATGTAGTATTATGTACGACTTGTCATCCAACCGAAAATATAATTGCTTCAGCTGCTCTTGAGCACGACAAGACCATTAAATTGTGGAAAAGTGATACTTAATCCTGTATATTATGCTTCTGTTTTCTATGAGAAATAATTTATATTTTTTTATGAATGGCTATAATTATGTAAATTTGATTGATTAATGTTAGGTGGTAGGAGTAGCCACAACTAATAAACTTTTGAATTTTTTCAAACTCATTTTTTGCGCAACAAGGGAAATAAAACGCATTTCCAGTTTCATCATAATTATATTCTCGTAATTATATAAATAAAATTTCAAATAAAATACATCACATTTGATCACATGTCATTTCAAAGCAGACAAACATTAGCGTTAAGTACGTTAGTATTTACATCACAGCTATAGTACACACACTTACAAATTGTTACATTTCATTAGAAAACTATGTTTGGTTCTCATGTGGCTTCTGAGGGTGTCAATGCGGCTGTAAGTGGCTGGACAGTAGGGACAGAAGGACCGTTGAGCTGTATGCGAGTGGAAGTGGTGCCACCGATTGGTCACTTCTTTACTGCAAGCTTTACATTTCCATAAGAGTAAGTTCGAGAGGGACGGCTCAAACATTTCGTTGTATGTAAGAATGGCACCTCCATTTTGCTCCGCTGAAACAAATTCGGATTAAATAACACAAAACCAAACATCGAAACGGAGACTGAAATAAAACACGGGTTTTTATATACAATTTAATGAAACAATTAATAGATACAAGAATTATAATAAAAAACATTGGAATATATACCCTGATTAGATGATAATCTTGACAGAAAAAAAGGTCTGGTTTGTCAACAATTATCGAAAAATCAGTATTTGATACTTTTCCTAGAAAATGAGAACTTGTATGTCTTTCACCTCTCCGCGTCAAATATAATTTCAGTTCGTTGTGATTTGGCAAGTCAGTCTTGGATGACTTTAAAACGGAAAGTTCAAACCTGAGTCAAGTTCTCAATGATGGACAAATTACTACTATTTAACTTACAAAATACTCATTTTACAAGTAATAAATTAGTAGATTTTTGAACGTTAATTATGACGACTAGTACAAGTAAACCGAAAATGTATATAAATTTCTGATTGTAGTTTACTTCAGTCGCCGAAGAGGAAATCATTAAAATAATATGGCAGCAAACATCACCGTTTTACATCTAAATAAAAACACCCTCACACCTTTGGTAACTTTTTGATAAAAAGCTATAGCTTGTCCCTGTTTAAACACTCAAATGTTTATTCTAACTAATAGCTGACGATTTTTTGTTTATTTTGAAAACAAACACTACAACTAAATTATGACTAGCAAAATTAAAAGCTAATTTTGGCAAATTTCACTTTGGCTATCTTATGACTAGTTACAATTATTACTATCGTATATATTTAAATAAAAAATTTGAAAACAATAAGACAGTTTGTTCAATTTAGCTACGATATATACACCATATACCTCAAAATATAATTCTTCAAAAATTGTCAAGCTGACAAACGTTACAAAATTATTTCTCAGTCACATAATTACTTATTATTTCCAAATTATTATACAATGACAAGACCATAGATAATTGTACAATTTACAATCTTTACAATATGACTACTCGTTAAAAGTTCGGGAAAAAACTATTTACAGGAGAGACTTGTATATTATCTCGTTGAGCGAGTCCACAAATATATTACATGCATTTGTTGTAAAATGAAATCACGTGATGTAGGAAGACTACTAGCACCATGTCACATGTGCTACTTCATTTGCTTCAGAAAAAAATAGGAAGTGTGACTAGACTTGATCAAACACACATAATATACTTGTGTACATCCTTAGGTCAAGACTACACATAAGCTGAAAATTCTTTCAATTGTTTTTAAAACTTATAATATTTTGGTCTAGTTTTTGGCATTACGTCTATTGTACTTTTAGCATTTTAATATCACTTGTTTCTATCTACTGCATAACTAAATGATTCGTTATAAGCATGAGCAATAAACTGTTAACATACTCTAATTATGTGAGTATTAATTAAACAAACTTCCAGCTCATGTATTAAATTTCTAATCACCAAATATCAGCTAAGCAACTGTCGGATGTTTTGTCCTCATGTGCAGCAATAATGTATCACTGCGTGTGTACACTGCCGGACAATGCGCACAAGAATACTGTCCGGGGAAGTGTACATAATAGTGATTTCGTGTATTGCTCACTATTTTTCCACACAGTACACATCGCCTTCTCTCATCCATCGATCCGACACGTTCAAATAATTGCGACACCTTGTAGCACTTAACATCTGTAACAAAAATTCAAAGTTAATTTATGTCGAATAAAAGACAATCTTTCATTACCGGTTTTAAAATATTCGGATTTCCAATGATGTGCTACTTCTAGCATGCTCTATACGACACGAAAAGTGTCGTAGTGCCATTACAACGTTACAAAAGCATGACACTAGATACTCGACATTAGTAGCATATTACGGCACAAGGGATTAAATAACGTACGATTTTAAAACACACCATTTTTAATAAAAATTAATAAAATACAATAATAAATGCCTTAATGAATGCATATCAATCTTAAATAATGTTTTACTTTTACATCACTTAAAAACTAATGAATTTTAAGTAACACTCAACGGTGGTGAAAATGATATTAAGCAAGATATTTGATCATTGAGCATATTAGACAATTTTTATAAAGAAAATGCGAATTGTTCTTTTAGCGCCGATTAGGCCGTACAATATATTTATAAAATGATTTTTCTCCGAAACCGCAACCTTATTAAATCGATTTTTACAATTAATTATAAAAATAACTCGTTGCAAATATTGTAATTCTAAAATCAACAATAACAAAATTATTTTTATGAAACCACAATATACACTAACGCCTTTTACAAACTGTACATGATTCTCTTTTTTCTAAATTCAAGGATAGTACAACAACAAAACAGTTACAACTAAATATTGCACATTTCATATTTTATTTCAAATAGTACAAGGTTGTTAGCACCAAACCTATATTATCACAATCATTCTAGTTGCTCACCCAACTTTTTTTTATCTTAATGCCAATATATTATAGAAATCTTTAGTATATAGTATATTATTATAAAAACTAACAACAAATGTTTCGCTTTTTTAAAAGAATTAAAAAAACATGCTCTTACCTAAGTTAATGCACTAGGTTTATATCATAAAATAAACATTTGTGAATATATTATAAGCAAATCTTCTTAAAAAAAAACAAATACCCTTATTAAACACCACACCTGTAACACCAAATTGAACCAACTTATTATAACTAAGGTACCATATCACGAAATTCAATAGAAATGATCCATTCCTGTAAAAATTACGGACAGAAGCTTTTTGAGTTTTTGTTTACAGATCATTAAATAGTTTGTTCCACAAACAAATAATCCTAAAATTAGTTAATATTTTACTTACATAATTAACTATTCAAAGGCCGCCAATACCTTATAATAGGTACAAAATTTAAAAAAGAGATTCTCTACATTAAATGTAAAAGTTGAGAATATGAGGTAATATCAAAGTTATTTAATAAAATTGCACTTAAATTATACAACTAGTTAGTTTGGCAATATTTAAATAAGATAAATAGTTTTAATACAAAAAAGATTTGACTTGTAATCGCTCTACATTGAAAATCCTAAAATGCAAACCCATTTTAAACGGACGGGCATAAGCTATTTATAATATCGTGAGTCTCTTTTTTTTATTCGTTTTTTATAATTTTTAAATTAAGTTATACATATACAGGGGATCGCCGGGTACTTAATGCCACTATAAATAGAAAATTTTAAAACGATTGCACAAAGTTTCTAAAATTATGTAATTTTTTTTCAATCCATGTTCCATACAAAACTAATCTACCGTATCAATTGTGAGTATAAGTGGGCAATTTTGATTCCTAAGTACAGTAGGTCAGCCTTGCTTGGAACCCTGTATATTACATCATATATAACATCACAGATATCTTTACAATCTTAGGTCGTAATATTTTGCAGGATGACATCATTTAGATGCAAACACATTTTAAAGTGCCGGAAGTACGGATTTTTTTTTCGGTGACCTACGAGACTAGAAATTACTGGTCGAAAGTCAAGGTTCAAACGGTGACAGGTTTTAAAATATGCTTGCACGAAAATGGTACAAAATGTTTAAAAAGACTATCTATATACTAGGCTAAAATCATTTCAAATTGTCCGAGAGAAGCGTTGGCAACACTGACAAGTTCAATAAAACAACTAACTTTGGAGGTGATCGAGGGTAGACATTTTGAAATGGCTTTTAGTATGAATAGTTTGAATATAGTACCGTTATTTTTCTCCTACACTGCGTTTAATAATACCTTGCCGAGATTTCAGTCGTAGCTCGAATTAATTAGAAATGAAACACTAGATTACATGGTCCAAGGAAATTATCCTGTGCAATAATTTAAGTCTTTAGTATTGTAGATAGATGGCAGTTCGGTGACTGCTCTTCATTTGTTTGTTTTCTCAATGCATTTGTTTTAATAAGGTACTTGAATTAGCTAGAATAGAAGGTTGGTGGCTAGGATGAGGCCAAGGCCCTGTAGTACAACAGATAATAGTTGAGCCAAAATCAATCGGCCGTCGTGTCATTGGTAATCGTGGGTGCTTCGAACTTCCTGGTGTCGGGATTGTAGCGCGGATGTTTGAATTTGCAATGAGTGCGCAGATTGTCGCTGCGTGTATACGTGGCTCGACACAGGGGACACTCGAACCTGCCCGGGAAGTGCACATGATAGTGGTTGCGTATGTGCGTCACTATTTTCCCACACAATTTGCACCGGTGCAGGTTGCAGCCACCTGGCAGCTTGTCAAACGTTAGCCGCATGTGCCAGGTTTTTGAACCTGCAAACGAAAACAGTAGTTTAACGGCAATTCGTTAATGCTAATAGTGTGTTAATATTAATTGTGACAGCAGAATAGTGACAATGGTGCACCCCAGAGCAAGTGAAGCTTTTCAGTACCAGATGGCGCGCGCGCACGATTCAAACACTAACAAATAGAAGAGGTGCGTGTGTGACACGGTCCGGTACTGAAAATCTATAATGAAGCTGCCGAGCCATTTTAGTTATTTGAGATTATTTGCGGAAATTCAGAAATTGAATACATGCAAAGTGAAGAGACTAATTAAAATTAAAATAAAGTATGACAGAGGTGGTTCAGAACCTGCACCAATGAAAAACACCATCAAGAGATTTTTATTTACATGTTTATTTAAATCTAACACTAAAAATATGTACAGAGATTTTATTATACAAACAGCCGATAATTCTATTTCAAATAATAGCAGCTTCCAAGTTTTTTTTTCTCACAAACTCTAATCAAATTAGAGTTTTATACACAACCTTATCAGTTGTAAATTTTTCCACGGATCTCAATTTGCATGCAGTTTTTCTAAGTGTTTGATAACAATCAAAGTAATACAGCTTGACAACTTAATGAAAAATCCAAAATGAAAGAAACAATGGTCAAAAATGTTTAAAATATACTGAGTAACATTAGAAATGCAACATTTCTTACCTCACAGCCGTCCTAGCAGCCTTTCAGACCGAGTTAAACAGTTTGAGTGTACATGGAGTACAGAAGAAAGACTTTTTTCCTTTTTTGTTATATATTTTATACAGAGTGATTCAAAAGTGTAACATTTAATAAACAAGCAAATTCAACAATAAATTAAATCCAACAACATCGGAAAAAAGAGTTAAAATTCCTTCATGATAATATGGAAATTGACAGTTCTGTTTTTTCTTAAAGGCTTGAAAAAAATAATCTAACTTCATTTTTATGCTTAGCTGAAAGTCTTCTATCACGACTTAAAAGTTGGTCCGACACTTTTGAATCAGCCTGTACATAAACAAGCTACCACTTGTTGCATTTTTAGTGACACCCCGTATATTTTGTTATAATTCAATTAAACACAAGGTACAGTATTACCGTGGTGCTGTGAGATTACATTACTGTTAAACTGTTTTTGATAACAATTTTGTTGTAACATTTACAATCTAAAAATACAAATTTAAAATTCTAAAGAATTCGTTCTCATTTCTTGTTCTCTTTTGTTTGTAAATTAGAGAAATATTTAATAATCTTTGAACGTCTTATTAATCTTTCTTTTAAAAAAACACAGCTATGTAACCCTCATAACAGAATAAACAAGTTACCACGTTTCTTTGATTTTGAAATTTTACAGTTTCTGTTTACCACATGTAATCCTACTTTCATCTAACTGTTTCTTGAATGATCCATCCGCACATCTGTGCATCTAATTACTTCTCATAAAAATTCAATTCAAAATTTCCTTTACTCAAAGAGAGAAAATAATTCCAAGCAATCAAGTAAAATTTCTTCTTTATTACGATTACATAAAGTAACGTTTACAATAATTACTGTTTGATTAAATATCATTAAATACATCACTGCATCTCGTATAAAAAGCAAATTATAACATAATGTAAAAAAGGTAACTTGAATATAAGTAAAACAATACATAAAAAAATCACAAACTTTATACGATTACTATTACATAATGGTCGAGTCAAATACTGTTAAACCTAAAACTGTTCAAATCTAACACCAAAGCATCAATTTGGCGTTACATTTAACTCCTCACAGCCAAAAGCTCGCTTATTATCATACCGCTAAAACTCTCACGAATACATATCTCTATTTTCATTTCGATTATCTCCCAACATTTCGAAAAGCACCAAGGGTCGTCCGTGTTTGAGTCGAATGTGCGCTTTCATATTGTCTTTCCTCGTAAAAGACTGCTGACACAACGGACATCGATTCGATTGCGGCCGATGTATCGACGAATGATGCCAGCGATTGCTCACTGTTTTACCACAAATTTTACACGTGTACAGACTAGGCGAATCCGATATCTTGTCGAACATCTCGCAATAATCGGATGCGGGCGCGCGTGTCTCAACGATCATCGTCGGTATTTGCGACTCTTGCGGGTAGAAAGATGAAGGATGGTACGCCTGTCCCTGTTCCTGCCACGTTGCTGGAACAGAGAGAGGACCCATCATCACCATCTACCATAAAAATGAAGCAAAACAAAGAGATTTTTGTGGTGTGATCTGGCAAGCGGAGATTCTAGCGCGAAGCGGTTAGTTGGTTTATAGTGTCTATACTCAGCATCGCTGAAAATGGACCATTTCAACGACTCAAGTTAAGAAATTTTGACAATTCGTGGCTGTGATGGCACTTGACACCAAAGATCGAACAAAACCCGAAATTTTCGTGCTTAAGGAAATGATAAAATTTATACTTACTTATACAAACGTTTGAAAAAAATTTAATACTATACAAAATGATCATGAACACTTCACTTTGTACCGAATCGCACGTAAAGTCGCGTAAAAATTGATTCGATTTGTGTTATTTAAAGTGTAATAAAAGAATAAAAGCAATAAATATGTACAAAAAGCGGAAAATGTTAATACCCATTAAATAAAAGAAAACCATGCGACATAAAATCAATTTCCAAGTGATTCTTTTTTAATTGGCTTGAAAATTGATAATTTTTTTATATAAAAAGCTAAAGCATGCGATTATTGATTTTCCACAACTTACCATCTATAGTATCTGTTGCTTCCGGTGGAGGTATGGGTGGAGTACCATCTGATTCCGTTTGATCTGATAACGAATGGGGGCCCAATAATTTAATATCTTCCGGATGAACACTTACACTTCCGCCCTAACAAAAAGAAATGCATTTATTTCCCACAAATTTAATAAAACTATCATTGGAAAATCAATTTAAATCAAACAAAAATCAATGTTAAAATATTTTATTTTTCAATAATACATTTGTTAGTTTTACAAGTTACACTAGCCTTCAGCATCACAAATTATCACAACCTTCCTAAGACCCAAACTCAATTTTTTCGCATGTTTTACAAAAAAATAATTTGTCGACCATCTGCACAGCCACAAAAACAAACAAACCCAAGGCCATTTTACTGAATTACATGTCTCCGATTTTCCCAATCGACTTCTTTCGCGACGCACAACTTATGCGCCTTGCACTTATCGTGATGATTGACGATTTCCAATCGAAAATTGGTGCTTCCTTCCGCAAAACTGGTACGTATTTCGGGTATCTCGGAGCTCCATTTTCGGCAAAATTTGCAGTACATGAGATTTTCGCGTTCGTCGTATTGCAGCCAATAGTACGATTCCAACCATGTGCTCCTGAATCGACTTCCTTTCCTCCCAACGTTCGTTCTTTTTTGCGACGATATCGTCTGAATCACCGAACATTGCTGACTCGTCGTTGTGAAATTTTGTTTGTTTTGAATCGCTGGTGGTAATACTTCGAGGATCACGTCTCTCCCCCACGTGTTCGTCTGTTAACAAAGAAGGAAAGGATATATGTGAATGACTGAAATGTTCATAGCTTTCTTTGTAAGCACACCAAGTGGAAATTTGAAAAAAGCACTCGGTGTAATTACCAGAACGCGTATGAGTTTTTTAAATTGGCAGTTAATCCCTTCCTTCTTTCACGGGGGAGCATTTTAACACTTTGACACTAACACACACTACCGAACCTGCATTAACACATATTCTGTCGCTCAAGGTGTGATTATTAAAAGTTATTCGGGGCAAAAATTTAGGAAAACAATTTAAAAACCAAATTCAAACAATAACCGCCTAACAAAAAATATATTTTTGCTAAAAAGTTGCTAAAAACAAAAAGTAACAGTACCAACCTGAAAAAATGTCTCAATTTCGTATCAACTTCTAATAGTAAAAAGTGGTAAACGTAATTTCGCAAGTCCTGATTACAAAACTGATAATCCAGTTCGCAATTTTTTTTTCTTATCATGAAAAAGCAATAGCAAGTACAGTTGACGCAGTATAAGTTGACGAAGTCCGGCGCATGCCGAGGGAGTAACTCGGCAAACCTCGGTACGTTTGAGTTCCAAGTTGCGAGAAACATTGACGTAGCCTTAAACATATTTTTATTTTAAATAAATTTCACATTTTCATTTTGAAAAAGTATTTAATTCTAAATTACAATCAAAATTTAATTCGCGATTAATATGAAAAAGTAAAGTAACTGACAACTTACTCGTAATTCAGTTTTGTTTAGTCCTGAATTAAATTTTATTTCTCCTTTTCTAAATCGGTTAATGGTAAATTAAAATTTTATTGTCACCTTTAAACAAAAGTGAATCTTCGGTAAAAGTTCATGTCTGGAGGCATCAAGACTCTATCCCTTAGCCAATCAGATGTTAGCATCAGGCAAATCGGAAGGTTGTTTAATCGTACGACTGTAGGACGCAAAAAATCGTGAACGTGGAATTGTGTAATATTCGAATTATTTTATGACGTTGCAAATGGCGGGATTACGCAGTCCCGAAAAAAGACATTTTACAACCAAACTATTATGAAATGGGTTTTTGTGGATCTTGCCGTTTTTTAAGGGAATTATTACAATAAAGAATTAGTCTTAGCCAAGCTCCCGTACGAATTGACTGAATTGTAATAATTGTCCGATTAAATTACTTATTTCGTGGTTCAATGCAAAATTGTGTGGAAAAAGGCTGTATTATCAGTGCGTGCGTGTTGGGTATTTTCGAGTCCCTAATAGACATTTAGTAGTGCGCGATTTTTAAAATTTCGAGTCATTAGTGAGTGCCAGTAGGAGAAATGGAGGAAGCAATCGTGCTACAAGCGAATTGCTACAAAAGATAAGCAGAAGAAGATGCCATATAAGGTCAGTGCACTTTAATTTTTTATTATTTTTTTTTGTTTATCGCTAAGTAAACTGTGTAAATTTGTGATTTTTGAGTGGAACAGTAAGTATTTATTAAATTATGAATAAAAATTAGTTGTGTTTTAGATACGAAAAACGTATGATTTCTCAAATTCATTTTCAAAATTTGTAAAAAATGAGGCTGCTACCAAACAATTTAAAAGTAAATCTTGAAATTTAAAATGTAATTCAAAAATTATTGTGATTCAAAAAGCAGCCCTTTTAAAAAGTTGTAATATTGTTAGAAAATGTCTCGATACTAATTTGATGTTTGGCAATGTAAAGTAACTAACAACTTAGGATTACTTTAGTCTTGAATTAAATTGTATTTCGCTTTTTTTTTAAATTGATTAATAGCAAATTAAAATTTCATCGTGATTCAAGATTTTGTAAACTGTCCCAGTAAAAGCAACTGATTATGTGACGCCACTGGAAAATGTTTAAGTTCCCGCCTATGAAACACCATGCGAATCTAGTGCGCATTCAACCTTCTTGCCAACTTATAACGCATCAACTGTACCAACATTTTTTTAAATACAGAGTGGCACAACAAAGATTTTTTTCGATCAATAACTTTATGAATAAGTAAATAAATTCGACAAACTTACAGAAATCATCGAAAATTAAAAAATATATTCGGGTTAAGTATGAAATTACTAAGTTTGATTCACTTGTAACAAAGATATCAATGAGAGTCTAGCTGAGACAGCCTGTATAATTTTTAGTAGTCATAAATGTTAACAAACTGAATTTCTGCCAATTACTATGGCGTTTTTATAAAACCCAAAGCTTTCTATGCATAAAATAATAAACAGAACATAGCTACTTTGCGAAATACCTATAGCAATTTTGAATTCACATAACTTGATAATCGACATACTCAGTTAAAAAGAGATTTCGCTAACAAATGTGTACAAATCAGGCGAACAGTACTTTATTAGCCCATAATTGCGATTAATTCAATATTTTCCGAACTAAACACGTGCAGCCAAGGCCAAACAGTTACACAATTTCTGCCCTTCATAGAAAGATCAACAATAATTCGTAGCAAGAAAATGTATTTTAAAAATTGATTAAACACAATTATCAATTCTAACACTTTACATAATTCAAATGTTATGAAATTTTATCTAGACAAATAAAAACAATCAAAAAAACGCTATCATCGGTTTAGTATCGAAAAAAGCGGCAAGTTTTGAAAAAAAAACATGTTACGTCAGATGTAGCCAACTGAAGTAATGAAAATTCCTATTATATCACTGTTATAATCTAACAGTACAATGAAATAGATTTGAGATACTTACTGTTTGTAAAGCTTCAGACATCGAATGAAAAGAATCGACATGGGGGCTTGAGTCGTGTACAGGTTCTTGTTTAATATGCGGCGACGACATCCTCATGTCTTCAGCGCTCATATTTTCTCTATCGACCGGCGAAATAGGGTTTAACTTTGGCAGCGTCGGACTTGCTTTATAGTTGCTTTGAGATGATGCCTAAAATGTCGATTTTTTGAAATCTATCGTTGCTTGTCGCATAATAAGGACAGTTGGGGTTACCTGAGAGTCATTATATCGTTCTGAAATTGAGTTTGACGTCAAATTATCACAGTTTGAAGACGATTTCCGCTTTCGTTTCTCAATAGGCGGCGAGTCCCTCTCGATCCGTTCCTTTTCCCTTCTTGGCACTTCAGCTACGTCGTCGTTTTTACTACTTAACGAATTATTATCGGTCAAGCCCCTAATCTGCAAGGCCTCGGCCGTTTTTAGGAACATCGGTAGAAGGTTCTGTGAGACGTTCACTTCACCTTTATACATGAAATCCAGCAGCGCTTTCATTTCGTTGTAATTGACATCTTTGAGGAAAACGATCGGATGGGGGTGAGCATTCTGGATGAATATCGTCTCGAAATAGGGGCTGCACGCTGACAGGATAGTCTGGTGCGCCTTGAAGGTCTCCCCGTCGCAGGCCAGCGTCACATCGCAGAGGGCCTCCCGCCGCAGGAGGCTGCTCAGCACGTCGGTGAGGTTCGTGGGGTGGTTGTTCCAACGCAGGCAGAACTGTTGATCCATTTTAAGTGCCTGCACACACAAATTCCTTAGCTCATCGCACGGCCACAGCCCCCATAAACAAGCGAATTCCGCGACCGAAAACCACGTTCGTCACCATTACCGCCATTGTGAATTTTATTGGCCTTTTGGTCGGAAAATTGGGGCCGTGATCGAGACACCCAACACGCGATTTGCGATTTTTCACCGATTACGACGCGATTCACACGATTTGGGGCTGCTTTCGGGGGGAAACTTACCTTTTTGCCCAGTTTCTGTCATTACAACGCCACCCAATTTTCTACCTCCTGCACTGCCATGCAAACTGTCTGATACTGTTATATTTGTTTTGATGTCAGTTGGTTGAAAAACTTGCGAGGGGGATATTTATTTTATGACCGGCCGAGGGGTTATTACTGGGTTATTGGCATTTGTGGGGCGAAATATGGCCGATTTGACGATTTTTGATTATCATTGGCTTAAAAATGAACGATCAAAACGTAATTATTCATCTCGGCAACAGCCACGTAATAGTCTACATAAGTGATTTGTTGGTTGCAGAACCTACAGGCGAAAGTCTAATTAGACTTTGAATCAAATAAGATTTTTTTTCCAATTTAACAATTGTACGCATTAAATTAATTATGTAATTACTCCCATAAGAAATCACTTTAAAATTTGACCACTTCAGCAATTTGCTTAAGAACAGGGTCAGAAATAAAAAAACATTTAACACATTTCCCTACTTTACTTAGTTTTTTTGTTTGTTTTATTATGTAAAAAAGCAAAAATAATTATTTTTGTTAGTAAGTAAAAGCTTAAAACAAAAAGTTCCCATAGGCCTATGCCTGGAAATGCTTCTTGAGGGAGCTACAGCCCCTTGAAATGGGCGGGCAAAAAGCCTTTTTTAAGAAACTACAAGGTTAATCTTCAAAACATTTTTTTTTCTTATTTTTCTTCTCACATAGGGCTCAATCTCTCTAAGGAAGCGTTTTCGGATAGATCCATAGGAATTTTCTTTCTTCAATTCTTTTTTTAGAAAACAATTTGTAAGGATAAATAAATGTTTAACTAAATGTTGTTAAAACAATTACCAACTGACCATTTTAATTTTCATAATAAAATAGTTATTTTTATTACAAGTAGGTACATAAAATACAGTTTTTGAGAACGAATCGTTGCTTTTTTTGTTAAAGCATCCAAAAAACGAATTTACGCCTTTTATTAATTAAAAAAAAAAAAAACAACCAAATTGACTTTTTCATCCGGAATAATTATTTTTGAAAACTGAGAAAAAATAACTATTTTACGTACTATTTTATTGAGTCTGGTAAAGACTCACATTAGAAACTCAAATAATTTTTTGTAGGTAAATTTGTTGCGCATTAGTTTTTAATAAAAAATATACATTTTATTTAATAATACATAAAAATAGTCAAAACTATAAATAACTTGCTAAACTGGGATTTTGGGGAAAAATAATAAAACCAATAACATTTTCATTGTTTATTTTTTCAGAATTATTAACAAATTTATTTCTTTAAAAGTTTTGATAAAATAAAGACTAGAATCTTCTTAAATTCCAAAGAACGTACTTCGACTTTAAAGTCAAAAAATTATTGCAAGAGAATTATTTCCTTAATAACAGAAACTTCAAATTTCTTCTTAAGATTTTTTCATCTTCTTTCAGAATACATACATGCAAGACAGCAATAAAATTTCAAATTAGAAACACATGCAATATTTCATTTCTTATTAATTTCTTAAACTTTGAAAAATTTATTCATTTCATGCATTACATAAAATATTTTTTCTGAAGAAATCATGCAATTTTCTTTATTTCTTCTCGACGTCCATCGAACACCCCCGGTTTGCCTTTACCTTATTATTTCAGCAGAACCGCTCATTTACCTTGAACTTGATTTTCAGTTGCCTTTAACCTGTTGCGCTCTGCTCCAAGTTCAGCAAAGAAAAGTTTAATAAATTGAAATAAAATCGCAACTAAGCTTAATCACTGTGACAAAACTGCGAAAGCAATAAATGCAAAGCTTCAGTTTAGTTCTGTGATCTGAATTATTTGTAGTTTTCTCGAACTCAGTCACCACACAACTAATCCAATTATTTTGTAAGTTAGATTATGTCATCCCCGAGAGCTTTAGAGCATGTGCAATGATGTACCGTACATTTTGCATTAAATGCGTGCAACTGTAGATGCACTGCCCCTTTCCATTTAATCTAGTGGTTGCTACGGACGCCGTCGCCCCCAATGGGCCGAAAAATCACAATTTATGGGAGCTGTCGACGAATGGGATGCAATGGTTGTTCCCACAATATTATTTAAACCGGAAATTTTTCATATAATTTGTTAAAATTAAATTAATTGATTGGCCTGAAGCCAGGTAGGTGAAGTTGTGCAAGCGAGACACTTTAGCTGTAAATTTAATTGTTATTGCTGAAATCGGGCAAGTATTTGCATTTTACAACCCTTTTGCCTTCATTGGATTACTTGGGCTTGAGAAACAGGTGCGGCAAATCATTACCACATAAGTTTAATCCAATTTATGCAAATTGCTAAATTATTTTTTGTGGTTATTACCCACCCATTGTTATTTATAGAAAAGTCAAAAACTGTAAAAAATAAATATGACAAAAAATGGTTTGAGAGTTGGTAATTTACTGTCGAGCGAAAAATACCTATATCATTTTTCATCAATGAGTTGAGATCAAATAAAGTCAGCAAAATTACAAAGAGCGATCAATAAATCACAATTTTTTTAAATCATATTTATCAATACCTAATAGCTTGTGATTAAAACAAATTGCTTGTAGAGGATCAGTTTGTACATTTTTTCTTCTGCATTGTGCTTCTTTAATATCGGTAGCTCAAGTTTTTTACGTCAAACATAATACAGAGTCATTATTAAACAACTATCTACTTTATATTAAATTATTTTTTTCTACATAACAGGGTTATTCATAAATATGAAGCAATATTTGAACTTCAAAAATGACCTATAAAATGATGTTAATTTAAATAATAACTCGTGTCCTATCTCTCCTGATAAGAATTTTACAGCCCTCGGTATGTGGGTATGGAAATTTGATTTTTTTGTAATAACTTTGGAACTATTTGACCAAATATTATAAAATTTGGAACATTTCCCTGTAACAACATACCCTTTAAACTGGTAGTCACGAAAACCGGATACATAAACTCAATTTCCGGTTCCAGCAGTTGCAGGTCACATTTTCTGTGTTTTTTCATTTTTTTGCTCTCTTAACACCAATTTTTTATTGCCCAAATCGATAGAGTAATCAATTTCGAATAAAAAACGCATAATCTTTAATACCCCTAAAATGGACCGTTTCAAAGATATTTTAATTTAAACTGAGGACTGCACAACGCTGAAACCAAAAAGTAGGGATTTTGAATGGATGATATCCACGGTAACAAATGATCATGGTCTCACTCATCGCTGTCAGGCATCTGTCAACTTGGACATTGGACGATTATTAGACAATTAATCGAAAATATTTAATAAAAGAGTTTACCTCAGATTCCAAACATAACTTAGAATAAATCCAAATAGATCTCGTAGCATTTAATTCATAAAAAATTCACAAAAATTAATCGTCAAAGTTAACAGATGTCTGGCAGGAATTTATGTGACCAAGGTCATTGGTTGCTGTGGATACCATTTATTCAAAATCCCTATTTTTTGATTTCAGCGTTGTGCAGTCCTCAGTTTAAATTAAAATATCTTTGAAACGGTCCATTTTAGGAGTATTAAAGGTTATGCGTTTTTTAATCGAAATTGATTACTCTATCTATTTGGGCAATAAAAAATTGGTGTTAAGAGGGCCAAAAAATGGAAAAACACAGAAAATGTGACCTGCAACAGCTGGAACCGGAAATTGAGTGGATGTATCCGGTTTTCGTGATTACCAGTTTAAAGGGTATGTTGTCACAGGGAAATGTTCCAAATTTTATAATATTTGATCAAATAGTTCCAAAGTTATTACAAAAAAAACAAATTTCCATACCCACATTCCAAGGGCTGTAAAATTCTTATCAGTAGAGATAGGACACGAGTTATTATTTAAATTAACATCATTTTATAGGTCATTTATGAGGTTCAAATATTGCTTCATATTTATGAATAACCCTGTATGTAATATACAGGTGTTCCGTTTTTATTGTTACAAATTTAAACAGGTGATAGGATATTCAATTTTAAGACAAAAGTTTTCTATAAACATGTATCGAAAAATGCTTGGTATGGGAGCTACACCCTCAGAAAGGGGGCTAATTGGTTTTTGCTAATATTTCAGAAACTATTTAAGATAAAATTACAAAATTTGGTACAGATGATAATCTTTATACACCTAAACTAATGCAAACATTAAATGTCGAAATTTCTAATCAGGGCCGTCCAAAACTGATGGGGTTTAGGGTAAAAAAATACCCTATCTATTTTGGCTCTAGTTTTTTTAGTTATGCATGGTAGTCAGTTTGAATAACTCCTTTAGATTTAGGCAAATTCATTTAATTAATGTTATTATTGTTACTATAATGTTATGTTAATTAGTTGAGGTTGATTAAAAAGTATGAATTTCTTGCTTTTATTATTCTGTAAATTCTGAATTATTTGAATGTTGTATTGGTGTGTAACATACATTTTAAATTAACTTTATTCAAAAACAATAAGTCCTATCGACACAAGAGAGACTTTTCTGTGATAAACTATCGAACTTAAGATTTTGTTGCTGAAAGTACCAAGAAACTAATGCCAAAATAAATAGGGTATTTTTTTACCTTAAACTTCCCCAGTTTCCTACGCCCCTGATTAAAAATTTCGACATTTGATGCTTGAATCTATTTAGGTGTATAAAGATTATCATCTGTACCAAATATTGTAATTTTATCTTAAATAGTTTCTGAAATATTAGCAAAAACATATTAGCCCCTTTCGGGAGGGTGCTCACTTATCAAGCATTTTTCAATACATGTTTATAGGAAACTTTTGTCTTAGAATTGAATATACTATCACCTGTTTAAATTTGTAACAATAAAAATGGAACAGCCCTGTCTATTGCAATTTAAACAACAAAAATCGAATAACCCAAAAACAAAACAAAATTTTGTTCTTAAAAAATTATTTTTTTATATTACTTTAATTTATGTTAATTATAATTTTTTGGAAACAAATGATTTAAAAAAAAACCGCTAGGTTCAATACTTTATATTCACCCAGTATAAAACGAATTTAAAAAGGAAACACTCAGCAGGGTACTAATTTTTTGAGTTTGGCTTACGAATTACCGGTTTAAAATATTTTGTAATCGGATTATTTTTCTTAAACTGTCCAATTTTTTACTTGAACTGAAATTTTTAATCGGAAATTAGTGATTTGATGAAAATTTGCACAAATATGCAATATTTCCTAAAATATGCACCAAGTTGCCAAAATATGCAAAATATGCATTTTTTTAGCTTATTTTAATCCATACACATTAGATATGCATAGAAAACTTACAATTTTGTTGATATACCTCTTAATGACAAATATACATTTTGCATATAATCCGAGCCTTAGTCATTATAAATTAAACAAAAAAAAATTGGTCGCTTCTCAGTACATTGAATCCATTTATACATAGATTCTTTGTTAGTTTTATTAATGAGATATACAAAATAATAATTTTTTTAGGCTATTCTGTCACCATGTACAAATTTTTGTTCCCATAATAACAGGAATAAGACGCAATATTAGTAAATCTTTGAAATAGTTTTTTTTTCAAAATTTAAGTTTTGTTAAACTCTAAAAATCACATAAGTAACTTTGTCACTTTCAAGCAAATGACATTTTAACGCAAAATTCGTAAATAAGCGGTTACAAACGCAAATTATTACCTAAATTGTCAATAAAAAAATTGACAATTACAATAATAGGTAAAGTGGAAAATATTTATTAGTATTGAAAGTAAAGTGACGAAAAACTTCAAAGGCGACTGGAATTTAGAATCATTTATTATAACCCTGTATAATGTTTGAATAAATTATTAAATTAAATTTAAGTTTTAAAATCAGCCATAAAAGAGTTCATTAAAATAACAATCATTTCTATCGTTTCAAGTTTAAAAAATAGTAAGAGGTTTATTATATTTTATCCACGACTATTGTATAATGTACCCCTTATACGTCTATTTGCTCGATCTTAATAATACCCATTAATCACTAGTGATTAATGAGTCATTAATCACTCTCATTAATCACTGCTGTCAGAAGCTTCCTTGATTTAGTTATAATATTATATTGTTTTGCTAAAAACAATTATTGGTTTTTAAAATTTTATCGTTAAATCACTAAATATTCAATTCATTTCTGTACATATAAAAAAAATTAAAAAAAAATAATTTTCCTTGACCAGATTCGAACCCGGGACCGGTTTGAAGGCAACCAGCATCGAAAGGGAGTCATTACCAACTTTTAATGTGTGTGTCGTATATCTGTTTCTTAACATACTTAATGTAAAAAAAAATTACAACTCAAAAGCTTCAACATAAATAGTAGTCGTGGATAAAGTATAGTATACTACTCGCGTATAATGGTTATTATTCACTCGGTGATTTACGCCACTCGCCTGCGGTTCGTGGGCGTAAACTTCAGCTCATGAATAATAACCAGGGCATGCGCATTTAAGTGTAAATTAAATAAATTTACAATTAAATTTACAATTTAATTAAATCAATTAACAATAAGCGGTCAATATTATTAATTATTAATATTTATTTTATAGTAGGTACATATTTAACATTGTTTTTATTTTATTGTTGTTGTTTTTATTTATTATGTACAAACAATGTATTGAAACGGTTTTATCTTTAGTTTATCTTATTTTTTTGATAAACCGTGAATTATCTGAGTTCAAATAAAGCCGCCGAAATTCAAATTTTTATTGGTTGCATGTTTGTTGAAAATTTGCACAACGCAAGCGCACTAATCTCTGCGCTTGCGCAGTTTATTGCATGTGGTATTTTTTCTAAACAAAAACTGTTATTGTTTTGTGCTTAAAACTGTTGTGTTTTTAACGTTATCACAACAAAAATCCAACAGTTTCATGAATGTCGCATTAACTTGTGCTAGCCTCGATAATGTCTTCTAGCTCGACGTCGTGTAACGGCGACAGCGGTTTTGTCGGAAATGTGAGTCTAAAGCCGCCCCCTGAGATGTCTTGCGACAAATGCCCTCGATGCAGAGTACAGTTTGATTATATAAGTAAGTCGAAATAATCCACTTTACAGTTTTTCAATTGTGACATTTCAGAACGGGCCGATGTTACTAAAGTTCCCCTGGTTCTTCCTTGCAAACACACAGTTTGTGAAGATTGCATTAGAAGACTGTGTGTAGTGAACAATACGGTTTGTCCCATTTGCAAGGAGAAATTTACAGCACCGGGGCCTAAAGTTGACAAATTCCATGAGTTGTTTCCACCACATTTTGCTTTAATTGGACATTTGTTGTGGGAGAAGAATCGCCCCCATGGGAGAAAACAGTTTACTTGGGTGTCCGAGGGGCCAAAACCACCCGATTTGTCTGAATTTGATTTAGATGGTGCTGATCTAAATTATTTGAATCGGTTTTTGAAAATCATTTTTTAGTACAATCAGATGCTGATGAGTTTCTAGATGAGTTTACGTTTGATAAATGTCCCGAGCACCCAACTCAGTTTGTCAACATTCAATGTGAGGAATGTGATGATTTATTTTGTAGTTACTGCTTTCTTGATTATCATAATGGTCATACTTCAAAAAGATTATGTAAACTGGTGAGTTGTCTTTGTCTGAGTGTATGTTTTTTTTTAACTATTTTTATAGTCTCAGGAAGAAATGCAGAATTTGAACAAGTTTAAATTTGACCTAGAAGTAATTTTAGGACAACTTCTAGCTTCAAGAAAGGTAAGTAAATTCATTGCAAACAAATTTATTAAATACCACAAGCATAGTAACAACATAGTTGAGTTTCTTAATCTAGACAATTATATAAAAATAAAACTAAAATAAAGTAGTGATCAAAAAATATTTTCATCTGTAATAAATAATAAGTTGTGATATAATTGACTAGAAAACAATCAACAACCTCTTAACAATAAATTAACTCTAACTATGGCAATATAAAAATAAAAAACAAATTATCCCAGTCTAACTTTCCTCAGATTTTGCTTTTTCATTATTAATGTCTTGCAATTGGTCAGAATCATCCTTCTCTTCACTCTTATCTTCCTCTTTTTTCTTTTCATTTTTCATTTTCTCTTCCATTTCTTGAAACTTGAGTGCGAGATACCTGAGACATCATCACATGAATTCACGATTAATATAACAAACTTTTTACCTATCCACAAGAGGCCCACTATAATCCTCTGGAAATTTCGGTGCTAGTGGCAAAATATACTTGTAAAGTCTTTCATTTAAAACGTAAAGTTGTGTCGTTGATGAACACTTTACGTTATACCACCAGTCACAAGTGAGAGCGACTTGACTGAAAATTGTACCGTTTGGACACAAAAATGATGCTTGACCTCCGTTCAAGTCGCAGTAGTGCCAGACCTGGAGCAAAAATTTATTGTTTGTTTTTTGAATGGTTACAACGTGAAATGTCATAAAAGGAAAACGGGGACAAGTTCACTGTGACCGCAGGTTTTTTTTCAACTAAATGTCGTGAAAGTTTCTAGTTGGGGTTTTTATAATCTATTAATTTTTGTGGCGGATTAAAAGGCACTTTATCGTCATTATTATACCTTAAAACAGATATTTTAGTAACATCTTTTGAGGTGTGTTCTAATGACAAAACCGTTTACATACATTAAAATAAAAATTAATAAATAAACATAAAAAATGAGTAAATATCTGATGGGAATAGCAGAAAACACTTTCTAGGTAGGTGTTACAAACAACATTTTTTTAAATCTCCAAAAACACATTTAAACCTTTTATTATGTATGATTAATTTCTAGAAAATAGTGATTAAAAGTAAAAAGTAATACGTAAAAGAGTTATTTAGGTCCTAATACCTAAAGTTACTATTTTATGTACAGTTGCGGAATTAAAATTGCGGGCAGTATTTTTCTGTAACTTTAAAAAGTTCACTGTAACCTACCTTTTACTGTCATCATCACTGACATTTGACAATTAAACTTATTTTTTTGTTGTTAAAATTGTTAATTAAACAATTTGTCTGTCTTAGAAAGTGTATTAATTGAACTAAGTGTGATTAAGTCATCGCTTTGATCTGCTGCCTACCCGTTATTATGCCACAAATCATAATTTTTTAAGTCAAATTGACATAAACATGAGAAAAGGTTATTAATGTAAAGGTTTTTAGAGTTTACATTTAAATGAGCACAAAATACAAGACTAAAATTATAATTTTTATAGTGTTTTTCTAATTTATGACGCAAGGCTATATGATAAAAATGAGTTTTAGTTCAAAATCAGTCCTAATAACTCGGTACTTTTGTGTCACTCGTGCGGTGTACTTACTTGACAGTTTGTGTGCGGATCCCCGAAGAACCCTTTATACCTCTGCGTCTTGCAATTAAAACTTGTCTGAGGTATCGTCGAAAGCGCTGGATAATCAATCCCCGGCCTTCCCGGAGTCCCGCCATCCACAGTATTAGCTGGAAATGTTTGCGTTACTGTTCCTGGAGCGTAAGTGGGTTTTTCCTCCTCTTCAATTTCTTCTTCTGAACTGTTCTCGTCCACGACAACGATCGGTTTTGTTTTCAATCCTTGTTGTTTTCTCAAACTATTCAAAATCTTTACCAAAGTTTTAATACTGTTGTCTATATTATGTGTTGTGAGGGTTTGAGGTAGAGCGTTGGAGTTTTGTAACTGTTTAAGGATTTTCGCGAGGATGTTTGTGTTTTCAGTTGGGACGTTGTAATATTGTTGCACTGGTATGATTTTTTGAGCGACGTATTTATCATCGATGATTGTGTTGACTTGAGGTGGTTTTGGAGTGGTTTCGATGTAAATGACAGGGGTTTCAGTTTGTGGTTGTGGCTTAGAGTAGATTATTTTATCACCGAAGAAAGGTTTAGGTTGTGGTTGGTAATTAATTAACGGTCTATCGAGCACATAGTCCACTTGTGGCTTGTAAATCTTGTAGCGTGAGTCATTTGGTACCGGTCTGTATTTTCTCGTGTCCGATTCGATGTCTATACTTGTAGGAGTATATGTTTCTATGACTGTTTTAACTCGTGGTGGCTCAAAATAGCGTAGATTTTGATGGTACCTTTGTCTCATTTTGAGTTGACTTAAGGTATCGTAGATTAGGGCATAGTTAGGGCTTGAGGTTTTCTCAGGTTCTGGAAGGTATTTTTGAGTGGGTTTGATGGGGATGAAAGGGCCTGGTAAAGCGTTACTTTCAAGGAATGGCGTGAACTTTTGATTGTTACTGATGTAGAAGTTCATATAAGGTAGGAGTCTTTTGTGACGTTCAACCGTTTCAGGATTTGTTGTCATTTTCGTAGCCATTTTGGGAATGTTTGACTCCTCGGGTTTGTCATGGTGTATGGTCGTAATGCCGTGAAGTAAATCAGGGAATGCTGCAACATAGCGTTACTCAAGTTAAATGTATCGTTTATTACAACACCGGGATCTAGATAAGTGCATGTAAATTTCATGACTTCCTTTCTCTCATGAGTTGTACAGAATGTTGATACACATCTCAGTGAAAGCAAAATTTTCATCGTTTTTAATGCTTCATTGCGTATTTCGGTCCGTGATATAAATATTTAAGTTTTGTATAATTGAGACATTTTTTAGCCTTGAGGTTTCCGTAATTTGGAACATTTATTTGGTGCAATTAAGCTATTATAGAAATTGATTGTCTCGTAAATTAAGACACGGATATTGATACATTCTGAACGTGAACTACAAAAATAATCAAATCACGCCAATCTAAAAGTCATCAACGCGAATCATGAACTGTGAAGGACGACCGATATGTTGGTGAAAGTGTATCACGTAAACAAAGAATAATACTCCGTGTGGCGTTTTTAAGATTTCCTATAATTCAAACTCGTTCGCTATACAGTTGGTATACAAAAAAAAAATAGATTGTTAATGCTTAGTTCGCTTCCTTTTGAAAGAGAATCGGTTTCATAAGTAGCCTTGAGAGAAACATTACTTAAATTAATTACCAGGATTTTGACATAAACTCAGGCACGATTCTACACCATGACCTTGTCTGCTAGGGTGTGGGTCGAATATTTTTTTTCAAATTTATGACTGTTATTTATAAATTAATTAAAATTGATTTCTTTGTTTTCAGTTTTTGTTTTTTGCTGTAATTTTGTAAACATTACTCAACAAGAATGTCCTGCTTTAAAGTAGTATTTACACGCACGCAACTGAAGATTTTAGTATTTTTTGTTAAATAATTTTATTTACAAAATTTGTTATTGTAGTAATAATTATTAATGCATGGAGGATATTTTATTTATTTCTTTATTTATTAAAAAATGTTTTTGAAATTTTATATGAACAGAATGCCACAAGAATTAAAATTTGAAATTACTGATCAAAAAGCATACTCTGGAAAAAAAACACAAAAAATTAACAAAAATTGTGTCAATTATTATTAATTTAATTGTAATTAATTTATTATTTACTGATTTATGAATTTTGATAGCGTCTTTGAAAATTCACAAAATAAACGTGGGTATTTTATATAATTTTTGAATGCAATAATATTTTTCAAGTGATTTTTTTGTTTTGACACGTTTGAAGAAAATTACTTTTTGAATCAAAGCAGTATTACCAAATTTCTTTAAAACTGACGAAAAGTGTTACTTTAGTGTTTACTTTTTCTAAACAATTAGGTAAGAAGACATTGTTTACAACATTCGTGTTAATTATCAATTAGATCTATTCATTGTAATGCATTTATACATCGTAACGATGCTAAGAGTGAATTATTTAGTACTAAAAAGACTTACTTTCCGTCTTTCAATTTTTTTATTACTACTAAATTAAAGAAAATACTTCGGTTTTGCCACACTAATTTTTTAGCTTTATTTTTTATGAATGCATACATCTAAGTTTATTGGTGCATACATGTTATAATTTTCTTTTGAAATGAAACACTTTCCTCCCGAGTTACATAAATGTCTGTTTCACGATCATGTCTATGAATGATTTAATTAAAAGAATTAAAAGTAATTGTAGACTCACTATTCTATAGCTAATTAGACGGCAAACTACAATTTCTTAATTGTTCCTGGCACTTGGAGTAAACTGGATTAAATTTAATTTGAAAAAAACTATTAAAAGTATGTATTGAGACAGTTTTATTTACTCGTAATTAAGCAGCACTTTTAGAAAGTAAACAGTTGACACAGTTTCGGTATCTCGTTGGCGGGTGATTGATGGCTCTGAAAATTTTTTTCGAAATTCGTGTTATACTGTAAACGATTTAGCAAATGTGATTATTCCGTCGTTCTTCAAATCAGAGTAAATTACTAACCGTCACCCGACCACATTGTTTAAATTCTATTACGAACTGTAAATTGCAAGCGAGGGTTGGTGCTTATTGATTTTGTGTCTTCGCCATCGAAATAAAACTTTTTGTTTAAATTAACAGAAATCAGTAAACGTTGAATTGTTTACGCGGTCAAGCTTTTAAAGTCTCCGGGAGAGGACATGAATTTATGTAATGCTCTTTATGCATCACCGTTTCTGTTCACACTTGGTAACGTGCACAATATTTAATTAGTACTTGTTTTGCGAAATTTTATCAAAATGAAAAAAATTAAGAAACAAGAAGTATCGGGATCGTTCCGCTTTTAAGTAATTCGATTGAATATTATGTAAATAAAATGTGAATGTGAACTTAGATGCTATATTAGATAACTATATCAAAGAAACAAATTTGTTGGAAATTTTATTGGAAAAGTATTTTAATGACGAGAGTTGCACTTTGCAAGTTAATAAATTAGGTTTTAAGAATCTTATATTATATATTGTGAGTTGTCGAAGTGGAAGTTTCTGTTATTACGTTTCAGACTGATAAAGTTTGTATAGGGTACATATCCTCTAATTAGCAATTAGGTGGCAGAACTGCTGGTTTGAAGTTGCTTTTATCATTTCTCTCTTTTAAAATTATTTTTGTATAACGAACAATAGTTTCGGAAAAGTAAAGCTACAATTGTCTTTTTAAAAATGATAAACAGTTTCTAACAGTTTAAGTAATTGTGGGAATTCTTGTACTGTTTGTCGTACGCACATTTTTATTGTTTTATTTATAAACAATGCAGCATTTTTTAACAATAATTTTTACCCACTAGGAGCCAATTGATAAGAACAATGTTACGTTATTATTTTTTATAAAAATAATTTACATATTATGAATTTTCCTTTGTTGTGAAATTCTTCCGTCAGAAAGCGACAATAACATTTTTCTTTGGAAGAAAGTTTAACAAAGCGGGTGAAGGTTAACAATTTAACAAATTATATTCTAATTAATGCAATTAAAATAACGATTGTGGGTTAAGTCACTTGTTAAGGACTCAATTAAATTTTATTCTACTGCGTGTATATGAATAAACTTTTTCACTGAGTGCAATTTATTGTCCGTTCATCCGAGAATCGTGCGGTCGAGCCCATCTATTTATGTTTATTTGAGCATTATTTACCTGTGTGTGTGTTTTGAAAGCGCCGCAAGTCATGTTCGCAGGATTTACTAAAATGCATTCGTGTTTCCACTTGCATCTGACGGATGTATCGCAGTTTCCGTAATGCGGATTAAAATCGAGTTTTTAATGCGGTAGAAAAGTACCCTGTTATATAGTGCAAGGCTAAATCCAAGGCGGTATTTATTGCGAAACGTTATTTTCAAAATTTTTACGTCCGGAATGGACGCAAAAAAGCGCCTTGAATCAATGAGACTTTCTTATTCTAACTTTTATTTTTTCATATAGAATTTTTGTTGGGGCACCCTGTATAGATCGCCTTTTACTTCGACGCGTCGTTATGTAGGAATCACGTAAGAATGAAAAACGTTTGAGATAATTTACTTTAATGACATAATTTTATAAGAGAAAATAAAAAGAAATTAAAATTCTGTTAAATGAGACAGAAACTGTCATCATGCGAATGGGTGATTATCGTTTATTTTTATTACTAACTTTATAATGATTTGGTGCGGTTTATATGTCCAAATCTAATTTAACCAATTCTAATTAAAAACCCAGGTAATAAACAGCAATTAAATTTCCCACTAGAATTGATGCTTTTATGGTTTATTGGTTCAATCACTGCTTTTAGAACTTTGACTTAATTACTCGTAATTTGGTGTAATTTTTTAAATAGTTTTAACCCTGTAGAGATCTGTGTCAAGCAATGGTTAATTAAGAGTGTTGCATTTTTGCGTTTTGTTCTACTTTTGGGAGAAAAAGTAAAACCCATTATGGAATAATCTGCTAATTAAAAGGTTGTTTTACCTTGTGCATAATTTTGTGTGGGATACAATCAAAAAACCTGTCACAATTTTTATCGTGACCGGAATAAATATCTTGTGGTGAATGGAGATGTTTTGTAATTTTTCCATTCTGTTCATTTTTCGGTAATATCAATTGTCGGTGTTGTTCATAATTTTCTCACAAGTTTGATAAATCTGTGGTTGAAAAATGTAATAAACTATGTAGGCAATAATTATTTATGAAATTATACAACTGAATACTCCGCTTTTGTTAATTATTTACTGAAGCGTGAGCGTATTGTATAAATTTTATTTTTTAGGTTATCAAGTTGAATAAAATTGCATTTAAAACATTTATTCGACGAACCGTTAATTTTGAATCGATGCGTCTGCATTAATTACGTCGAATTAACTATGTAAAACTTTTTGAATTATCTCTCAAGGGAACAGACAAAACGTGATGATGATCAAAACAAATTCGCTCCGAGCGATTTCGGTAAAAAACTAATCGGTTTTAATTACTGATTTTCGCTTTATTTAATTGCTACTTTAGACACTTTAATAAAAATTCTCACGATTCACTTCCTTACTTGAAAAACTGGGACGGCTGTTTACAGATAAATTAATTCGTTTTTAATTTTGGCTCCTGGGTTCAAGATGTTTCGATTTCTCTTAAATGAGAAACAAATTCTTACCTGCAAGCACTGACATAAATAAAATAGCAATTCTGATCATTTTTCAATCATCCAGAAAACAATTTTTGGAAAATGTAGCACTAGCACTAGCACCATGTCACACTCACAAGTGCATAGCTGCATCAAGCACCGGCGACAGTCTCAAAGACGAATATTATGTCTTGAAAGTGGTTCTGTGGTAGCAAAAGTGCTCCAAGGAGCCCCCACTTGTAAGTGAAAATATCGGGCAATGTCATCGATGGCCGAGATGTTCCTCTACCGGTTGCTGAACTGTTACCTTGTGAAGGACGCGATTAAAAAAATAATAAAACATTTTATTTTATACATTTACCAAAAAATTAAAACGTAGCCTCTTGCACCACCAGACATGTTACAAATTGTGTAACGAATTTTACATAATTTTTTAATTCGGATACCTTCTCTCAAAACTGGATTGACATTTTGAGAATTTTTTCCGGTATAATAAAATTATGCCTGAATCAGTTTTTGATTTGCCAACAAAATGAAATTTTAAGATTCTTGTTTATTAATAGACCGAGGTAAATACGAAATTTGAGCTTCTGGTACATAGACAGGTACAATAGAAATCAGAGATATTTTGTAACAATGTAATTAAACCAATTAACATACTATAGGTATTTTTTATATAATTATTTGTACAAAAGTGTTGCGTCAGTGAGGATTACTTACCAAAAATTCTTTCGCACTGCATTGTTTAAAATTCTCAGAATATTAACAAGCCAGAATGAATTTTTAAGTATTCTGCTTCTTATTAGGTTTCTCATTTCGTTTTTAAATTTATTCGAAGAACGTGTAAAAATTTCTCAATATTGTTACCTCTGAGAAATAACAAACTTTTTTTCCATTTGGGAACTAAGCTCAAACGTAACACTTTATTCATGGAATCAATATATCAAATCAATTTGATTGTGTATAATTTCAATACGTCATTTAAAAGAGATGCATGTTTGCCGGTGCTGGAAAACGTGCCCGGCGAATTGGTTTTATCGCCCCGTGTGGTGGTGAATATGATTATTTTATGACAATGATGTATTTATAATCTGGTGGTGGTGTCAATTCGATCCTAGATTTTCTGTAATTTCCCCGGAGTCGACAAGTTTAATATCGTACTGGTTTTGCATTAGAAATCAGCGTATTGTTTAAATTCATGCAGAGTTTGATTGCCGATGGAAAACCAGTTTTTTTCACAAGTAATTATTTATACAAAGATTATTTTCTATCAAAACTTAGCGACCGGATTTATGACTACTTTCTCAAGTACAATAATTTAAAAAATGGAGAGTCAATACTTTTTTTGAACATCTGTCATGCTCACGTGGTAAACATTTGTTTACCTTTTCAAATCAAAATTTCGAGTCGTACGGTGAAAGTGTTGAAGGAAGGTCCATCGAGTGCCTCTCTTCTCATCACTTGGTTGTATAATAGACTTCTTTCTATGTAAAATCTCCGATTGACCATTACGTGAAAAACGACTACTATCTTGCAAATTAATAGTTTCCTGCTTTTATATCACTTTAAGAGAGTGTATGTACGTCAAACAGTGTAGGAAATGAATTATTAATATCGGTTAAGATCGTTTTTTCGAGTATAGTTTTCAATCGAAAAGTAAACGTAACATTAGAGGAAACGCAACGAAAAAGCAATTTAAACTCGATAGGTTGCTATGCACATTTCTACATCACTGTTGTTGACCGTTAATTACAAAATACAAATAGATCAAGTTATAAGCGAAATTGAGTTTTCTCATTAAATGGAAAATCGTTCTGACCGCAAGCATTATGGTTATGAAGGTTTACTCGTTACCCGTCTTATTTAATTAAGTAATTATTTAATAAACCCTTTTGGTTATTATTTTATATGTATAACCGGTTTTAATTTTTTATGTATTTGATAATTAGTTTGTTGTTTCGTGGCCTTGACTTCGTTTGAGTTACCGTTTCAAGATCAAAGTATAATTAGTAATTGGATTATAAGCAATTTCTTTAAATTATTCCTTCCTTTAGATAAAATTAATTCCGTTTCTGAAGCGTAAACGTTTCATTTATTCATACATTATGCTGATGCTTTAGGTCATTCCGTTTATAATTAATATTAATTTCGAAAATTAAAAAGGAAATAACCTCAACCCATTTTTCAAATATTTAAACATTTATTGCTAAATTTAAATAACAAACTATCTACATTTTATACAAAAAATACGTCTTATTATATTTAATTGTTTGTATATTGTTACACTAGGGAAACATTTTAATGACTTATCGATTCAGTATACAAATTTAAAACCATCACAGTTTATTCGTCGTTAAAAATTTCTTCTAATAATTGCTTCGTGATGGTTCGATGTGGCCGTGTCGGGTCTAATTTCGGCCGTCCATACAACCTGCTATTGATGACATACAATCTGTAACAATAAAGTCATTGACAAAATAATTATAGTAATTAGACACTTACTTTGAGCTTAAGTCACATCGTACGTTAAACCACCAATCACAAACGAACACTAATTGACTAAATTGGGTACCATTGGGACACAAGAATGTCGTTTGTCTACCATCGATGTCACAATAATGCCATGTTTGACATCTCGTCTCTTCATCAGCGTAAAATCCGGGATATGGTTGTTCGTCGCAATAGAAATTTGTGTAAGGAACCATTCCTAAGATCGGATAGTCTGTTCCGGGACGTCCTACAATCAGGCAACCAACAATACACCACCGAAAGTTATCGAAAGTAGTGAAAGTGTGTAAATGCTCAATGATCGTAACAGAAATAAAATCATTGTTAATTACCAGGAATTGATTTTCCTAGTTCCAAATATTCGAGTACTGAAGGGCTGACGAAGCCCGGAGGGACGTATTTTGTATCAAGTGCGTTGTTTCTTTCGTCGTATTCACTCCCGACGTTGTTTGAAGGTTCGTCAGGTGGTGGGGCCGACGCTCGAGCTTTTTTCACGCTGGATTTTTGCTCAAAACCGTCTGGGAAAAAAATACAAGCTTTAATGAGATGAAAATCGAGAATGTGTGAATGTGAAAGTATCAGATGCGAGCGCTTTCGTTTGATTTTTCCTGTTTTGATCGAAAATTTATAATTGTATGAATTTGTAATTATTGTTTTGTTAGGTTCAAGGTGAACGTCTTGTAATTATAGTGAGTAAGAAATAATAAATTTGCTATTTTCGTGGCAAGACGTAATTTTTAAGAAATCACGAAATTGTTATTTCTACTCATAGATAAAAATAAATTATAGTTCACCTCAATGTCAAAATATTTGTTTCATTTTGAGAAACAACAATATATTGCTTGATTTACGATTATTGGCTTTTGTCGATGTTTTTGCATTGATTTATGCAAAATAGTCTCTCAAATTCATTGTCAAATCGCATTTTATTCAAATAAAGTTTCATCATTGCGTAAATAAATACGAGTTTCCTAATACAAATCGGGTTACAGTTCGCAGACAATAGGTACTCGCCCTGCTCACCAATTACATACTAATTTGATACTGTGTAGTGTCGGAATAAAAAAAAGTTCTCTAACATAATAATTGAATGCACCGATGATTATGAAATGGAAGGTTTGATTAAAGCATTCATAGGAGCATTAACTCACTGACCGTAATATATTGTGGTTTTACATGAAAACCTCAAATGAGGATTTTTTCTTTTAAGGTTGTTACAAACACAATGACTCTTTAAGCTAACATTGAGTTCGAAATATGGAATAAGGACATTGGCAACAATCATGTAAATCTATCAAAACTTAATTCACATGTGGCCTTGGCTTAAGTCATAATCCCACAGGTGTATTTTTGTAAATGAAAAAAAAAAAGTAAATAAAATCATCTCGAGTGTGTTTATTTTTTATTTACATTTTACGTAACTCACATTATGGTGTAATAAAAACACAAGTCTTTCATATTGTTAAAATAACTTTCTCGTTGGAATCACACTTATTTATCTCTTCAAAACGTTTGAAATGTTACCTTTAACGTGGGTACTCACCTGTAATAAGAAAATATCCTAAAACTAATATCACAGTGTGTAAAACGCACGTTAAATAATTCATTTTAGAAAGTTTTGCGCTACTATTATTGTATCGGCATCTCGCGAGCGACTGTCCTGTAGTTAGCAATCGTCTTCTCTTCTCTTAACAGTCACCTTGCCTCTCCGCGGCATTCTTCACATGATGCAAATGAAGTTTTTCCAATTTTTCCTCCCTTGTTCCAGAAAGTTAAGGATTTGGAACAATTCGACTCCAAAGGTCTCGAACACGAAATAGAAAATTACTTTTACGGCTTACACGCAAAGCTGCATTTAGCCGAATACAACTTGAAAAAAAAACTTCCCGAAATGAAACCAGGCGTGGCGGATTTACAACGCGTAAATGAAACCCTCAGAGCGAGTATTTCTAGAACGACTCAAATTTTGAAATATTGCACATTGTTGGATTCGATGCAACTCAACGTTAAGGCTTTATACGAAGAAGTGCAAAATATTAGAAATTTGCCATGTAAACTTGTCTCGGATCAGGGAGCGCTGCAGCCGATCGAGTGAGAGTTTTAGGGAGTGTTCTGTTTTTGAATAAATTATTTTTTTAAAGGTTTGCAGCGGAAAAATTGTTTGATGATATTGAGGAAACTGTCTCTTTGAGAACACTTTATAGTATCGAATATAGTTTATTACCGATTGATGATTGGAGTTACGCCGAGGAAAAATATATGTTAGAAACAATAAGACGTAAAAGTGACACAACAATTTCAGATAGCGAAAATAAGAAACAAAGTACTGAAGATGTACACTTTTCCAGTCAATACACCGACAAACAAGTTTTGAAAAAGTCTGAAAAGAAGTTGACTCAAGGTGATTTAGACTCGCCAAATTTTATTTTTTATGTTGTTTTATTGCAGCTGTGATTCGGGTTGTTGTTACACATATAAACGATTTGAATAGCTTTTATACTCAGACATTTTCATCACTCGATACTTTGCGGACAATGAACAACATTATTGAAAAGAGGACTCCGAAAAAAGTAGCTGAACATGAATTTATAATCGGTTAGTAACTTTAAAATTCACAAAATTTAAAATCGAGAGATTACACTTTATCAGAAGTAGAATATACTATTTTTTTGCAACAAGTAGCTTAAAAAATATTTGTGTTACAGGTACTACCTACGGCGTCTTATACGTAACTAAAAACTGTTCGCGTTGGCGCCGCGCTAGACTTCTGGAGATTTACTTCAGTGGGAAAGAACGTCTCTACAAAGTTTATTTTGTCGATTACGGAAATACCCAAAAAGTGACAGGAGATAAATTCAAACATTTAGATGTCCGTACGATGAAACGGTCATCGTGGGCTCAAGAATGTAAATTAACAAATCCTGAAAATACAGACTTTGGCAGGAATGCACATTTGGATCTTTCAAAAATTATAGACGATAAAGAACTGTATGTGCATTACATCAGCGATAAACAAAGTAAAGGGAAAGGGCCAATAGAAGTCGATTTGTATGTATCCACATCAAGTGGTGGTTTAGTCTCTGTCAGAGATTTGTTAATAAAGACTGTGCAGCCTGTTCACGAAATAAAAGTAATTTATATATTTGCGTTTGAATTTTTATTAATTTTTAATTGCAGACTGAGATCTTGACGACAAATTTACAGTTTTTTGAAAACAGTAAACAGTTTAGCGTTGGACAAGAGGAAACGGTGGTTGTAGCATATGTTACAGATCCGTTTCATATTTGCGTCCAATTGGCCGAAAATTTGAAGTTTATCGAAAAATTGAACATAGCAATGGAGAAATATTACAAAAACCGGTCTACAATTTCTTGTATTCCGACACAGGGTACAAATGTAGTAATACGATACGTTGATGGGACTCATGGTGTCTGGCATCGTGCCAAAATTATGGCTGTCGATATTGGTAAAAAAACAGTGGAGGTTTATTTCGTCGATTGGGGCAAATATACAGTTGTCCCGTGGTCCGAAATTCGATTATTGACTGAAGAGTTTATTAAAATGGAGTGTCAGGTGTTTTTTACTACCGTTAGTAGCATAAATATACATTTTTTTTATTCAAGGGGATTATTGTGAAACTCGCTGACATTGCGAAACTCGAGTCTAAACCAACGTGGACTTCGGACGCAATTGATTTCCTTCGCGAAAATGTTGCTAAAGACGAACTGTTTCGAATGGTTGTGAGTAAAACGGAACCGTTGGAAGTGGTCCTGTTTCAGACTCGTCCCGCTGCTGATATTTGTCTAAACTCACTTTTAGTTGAAGAAAAGCATGCCATTTCGACCGGAAACTTGTGAGTATTACTTTACCGACGTGTATTTGTTATGGCAGTTGTTTTACAGGTCTTTGACTGTGTATTGGCCTAATTCGTTGAATGAGCAATGCGAAGATGACGATTTTGCTTATCAAATGGTGAAGAAATCTGAAGAGATCCTCATGGAAAACCACGACGATATTCATTTGATATCTGGGTTGAAAATTAACGTCAGTGTGATTCGTTGCGAAAGCCCCGATTTGATCTACGTGAAATTATTAAAGCACAAAGAAGAAGATGAGGAATTACACAAGGAGTTACAAATCTATTACGGAGGTTCTCGAAAGAGTAAAAATAAATGGACGAAGGGCGAATTATGCGTCGTGTTTGACCCGCTACGTCATATGTATTATCGCGGATCGATTAAATCATCGACTAATCCTGACTGTTACACTGTTTGGTTGTACGACCATGCGCGAGAGATAAAAGTTCCTAAAACAATGATCTTCGTTCAAGATTCTTATTTCAAAGCCACTCATTGTTTCGTGTGGAAATGCCGTCTAACAAACATAAAACCTGCCGGGGATGCCGGCAAATGGTCAAATCTAGCTAACGAAATGTTGGAAAAAATTTTCAACAAATATAAAACAATCTACATTAAAAAAATCGAGTCAAATCGTTCTTTGAAAATGGTGGGTGTAGTCATGTGGTATTGTTTGACCACACCTGCTAAGGCTTTAGAACCGGCTGAAGTGCGATATATTTCGATAAATCAAGCACTGATTGAAAGTGGAGTCGCTTTTTCGTTGAGTTCAGGAAAGAGGGAGATTGAACAAAAAGAGGAAATCGAAAGTGAAAGTGAGGATAGTGGTGAAGAAGAGGTGGTTGTGGAGGAAAAAAAGGATTGGTACGGCAATGTGTGTGAGGAGGATGAATTGATGATAACTGAACGAAAGACATGGCCTCCACTTCTTAAACCTGAAAATGAGAGTTTTCAGGCGTTTTTGGTCTGTATAGACAGTGAGGGGGGATTTTCAGTACGAGACGAAATATTGCAAAACTCGTACTTTGATTTGGAGGAGACTATTACCTCGAGGATGAATAGCATGGAACCCAGTGTGGATGTTACATGGGAAGTGGGCAATATGTGTTCCATTTATTGGGAGCAACGGTGGTACAGAGGTATCATTTTGCAAATTATCAGCGAAAATGAGTTTAGTGTCGAAATGATCGACTTTGGGAGCGAACATACGGTTACTAGAGACAAACTCACGAAATATTTGCTATGTCCTGACGTCCCCCCTTTACTCTACAAAGTTAGACTATATGACGTTTGGTCCAACCATGGTGATTGGTCTGCTGACGATCTCGATGTCTGGCTCTCTATCGCTACTGACACTATTAGAGTTGTTATTAAAGACTGGAACAATGATACGCCATTAGCAGAAATCTTCATAAGCACCGGTTTGAGTCTCAATGATTTGATAGTACAGAAATGTCCACATGCTGTGAGACATCACAGCCATGCGGTCTTGCAACCCACCGATGTTGAAGTTGTAGAAAGTGAAGAGGAAGAAGCTGTGGTTGAAGACATATCTTTGAAATACTTTTATCTTCCTCTCAGAAGCACGACCAGTGATAAAGAAAAAATGTACGTTTTGAGTGTACTTAAATTTAATAATAAGCTAGAAGTTGTGCTTAGTAAAGATAAAGTTGATAACAGTTCTGAAGAACTTTTAATGCTAAACGCTGACATTGAAGAGGCAATTGACGATCAATCGTTTATGCAAGACTTCAAGTTAAACAAACCTTGCGTTTGTTTCTGTTCGGAAAGAGAGGCATGGCTACGTGCTTTTGTTTATAGAGTTGATGAATTACAATCGGGTCACGTGAGTGTATTTTATGTCGATTATGGTGAAATAGAAACGATTCCAACATCAGACGTTAAAGAAATACGACAAGAATGGTTGAATATGCCAGCAAGGATTCGTATAGCCACTGTAAACATCGAGATTACGCATGCACATTCTGATTTTGTTATGCTCAGCATGAAGAATTTATGTGGAAGATTGATTTCGGTTAAAATTGTTTCAGAAAATCCATTATGCGTTCATTTATATGAGAAAAAAAAGTTGTGTTACCAAAATCTTGTTGATAATGGTTATGTTAGAATGTTATAAGGTTGTTTGAGACTGAAATTGTGTTAGTTTTTTTTTGTATTGAATAAAATTTCGTTTTCTACTTCATAGTTGTTTCAAGTGTTATAAGGAACAAAAAGTTTGACAAATTTTTTGAATATTTCTCTAATAACATTTACAGAAAATACAATTAACATTATGGATTTTCAGTAACGGGCCACGATTTCTCTTCCATACTGACTATAATAGCTTGTTCGATTTTTTCGTGAATCCAAGTCAGCATCTCTTTATCACCACTAATAGTCAACAGCTCTTTCGTATTGTTTTCGTTCTAAAAATTAAATTTGTTTATAATAAAGTCGAAAATACACCACATTAGAAATACATCGCAAAATTAATCAGATTTTTTAGTTTCATTTTTAATTTCATCTTGTATTTCTAACGTCATTCTCTATTCACCTGTCTCATATTAAACACAAGTTCGGTAGACGTGATTTTTGGCATCGATAAAATATCATCTAAATCTATAGCCCACTCAACATCCCAAGGTCCCCAAAGCCTACATTTGTTTATTCTTATGACATGCCTAAAACAGCCCGAATTAACAAATTTTTCTTACTCTTTCGTATTTTACTGTAGCGAAACTAGCAAAGCCGATTTTCCGCTTCTATCAATCGAAGCATGTGACCAATAGGTATCTTTCATAAATCTTGAATTTGCGACCGTTTCTAACAAATACTGGCCCATAGATTCGTACGCTGAAAACGGTTTAAGGCCCTACAAAACCACTAAAAATTAAATGTCACAGAAGTTTTCAAAAAATACCAAATATCGGTTATTATATCTGGTAAGACGTTGCTGAATCCTGATTGGTTCTCCTAAAATAGAGGCCCTTCTCAACGCCTCTTTGGCCACTTCTACACTATCGCTTTTATCATCAGGGTGGCGTGTCATGAGGGAATAAAGGGCTTTTCCGGTCGTTCTGAAGAACATTTCGCCGTCGCAATTAATCCCAGCTAAAAATCCCAAATCTCACACTGGAAATTAAAACAAATAAATTACCGTTTTGTTTTCTCACAATCAGTTGGTTTAACGCATTTGGTACCCCCGTGTGGAAATTCCGACAAGACGCAGTTATGATTTTCGGTACCACTTCCGATTTTTGGTACGATCCGTGTCTACGGATCCTCTGGATATTCTCAATGGTTTGGTGAGCGAAAATATCAACAACGCAAGCTTCCAAAGCAGCCGGAGACATGTTAACGTGACTCAAAAGACACCTCGAGCCGTACAAAACAGTGTTTGACATTTTTTCCACATCGATTTGCGGGTACTGAAAGGGAGGAAAAGTCACATTTTCCGTACTTGGGACTCTTACTACCAAAACTGCAGGTTGGATGGCGAAAGTGTTGACCAAGACTTGCAATCCGAGTACGTGAGAGTAGTACTGTTGCAAGAATTGAGCTGTTATTTGTTGGAGAAGGTTTTCCATACATGTGGAGAGGTGGTCATACAGGTTGGTTTGTTCGATAGCTGAAACTCTGTAAAAAAAATTAGGAAAAACCAAGGGTGAGTTGGATGTTTGCTTACTTTTGGAGAACTCCCTCTAGAGGCATATAGGGCGAGATGTTTATGGGAAACAAATAGTCCAGAAGTTTGCACAAAGGTAAGTTACTACTTTTCAAAATCAATTGTGTTTTATTTGAGATGTGCAACTGGATCTCGAAGTTGCTCACACTTAAATATTCGATCAAACTTCGGCCACTTTGAGTGTCCTAAAATTTTTTCTAAGTAATGGCAAATATTTAACAAAATTCAGGTGTTTTGAACGATTTATTATTAATTAAAAAAAAATACTGGGACGCTTTTTATGGTGCTTGAAATATTTAGATTTACCTTGGACCGTGCAAGAGTCAAATCTTGAATGGATTTGATATCATTCACGTACGAAATATTTGTTTCATCGTAAAACTTCTTGTACTGGACCAAAAGTTCCCGAATATTGACAAACAAATCATTTTCGATGTTCAAATAGAAATCTTTAATGTTGATTTTGATGTGTCTGTAAATATCACAATCTTTCGCCAAACACTTCAAAACATTCACATCGATGAAAGAATTCAACCCTTTTGTGACATTTCCCGGAAGTGGGTATAGGACAATCGTATTATTGACTTTATTATCAATTTGTAGCGTGTTTAATTTGAAATTAAAATGATTGTAATTTTTCGACTTCCTGTATTGGAGGTAAACTGCAGGGGAATATGTGCGTTTCAATTCTGCAAAAAATGGCTTCAACATGTACATCTTTTCGAAGTCAATGTGTATATAGTCTCTCAGTTGACATTTCTTGTAATGCAACTTGTACTTATCTTCGATCCAGGACGCCAATTCCAAAGTTAGAGTTTTCCACTTGTGGCCAACATTGACTTCCCAAATGGCCGGGCTATCAGCAAGTGAGGCATAAACGTGCTCTTTTTTCGCATTTTCCGACGTGAAAAGTGAAACTCCGACACCGCAGAGTGACACTAAACACTCCAAGTAGCAATGCTCCAAAAAATAGTGTTTCAAAACCGTGTTATAAATCCGTGATTCTTGAGTGAAGAGGAGGGTTCTTTGGAGACCTTCAGCGTAACACAGCCAATAAATCACGATTTTGTCTCTTCGAACTTTCTTATTCATTGTTGTTTTAACACTGTCGGAACTATCTGAGTCCTCACTCGACGAAACTGTCACACTAGTGGTCGGTGTGACACTGTGGAATAATATTTTTTCCTCCCCGTGCGAGTCCTTGCAAATATCAAGGACGAATCCTGTTCCTTTATTGTTGTAAACGTTCCAAACCAACTTCCTGATCCTTGTTGGGTCGTCCCAAGTGTACAAAAGTGAATTGTAAGGACTAAGTAAAGTGACTTGGCTTTGGTCCTGCTGTTGAATCTTCAAAAATAAATCAGGACAATAGTTTTTAACTAGGACAGGGGCATCGCCGGGTTTGTAGTCGTAAAAAGTCACACGGAAGGAATCACTTATGCCTCCTGTAACTTCGACTCTTAATGCTCCCTGAAAAAAAAAGTTACAAAAGTGGTTAAAAAATTCAGCAACTTACTCCTCTATCCATTCGAAGGACCGTCGAATTTGAAGTTGCGAAATTAAATGCCTGCGAAATTACTTTACTGTCTCTGTATTTGACGTACATTTGCATCGAGGAGGTTTCAGGCCAAAAAGTTACGGTTTGAGAGGAGTCCAAGTCGATCCAGAGATCTGTTTTTTCATTGTGTTCCATGAATCTAAGGCAAGTTTTGTGATTTTAAACCACTTAAAAAAAAAAAAAAAACATTCTCACCTTAGTTTTTTGTTGGTATTGTTGGTGATTAGGAAAGTCGGCAGAAGAGTAACAATTTTCGTCAATCTCGGACACATTTGTGACAATTTGATGGACAAAAAGAACAAATATTTCTTTTTCCGTTCGTTGTCTTTGCAGATTATTAAACCGGTGGTTCCCGCACATTCTAACCCGAATTCGTTTGACCAATTCGAGTCGTAAACTTTAACATTTAAAGTTTGCTTTCCGTGTCTTTTATAAGTGAAAAGAAGAATATCTTCGGAATTACTTTCATAAACTGTGTTCGTAAGTGACGCTTTGATTTGTAGTGGCAATCCAATTTTGTTAATAATCCAATACGGAGTGTAAAAAAACACGTTACAGCTACCTTCACGATCTGTTTTGGTATTGATGGCTAAATGCTTGACTTCTTTACTGTCAGAAGACAAAACAACGATTTTTTCATCAAGATAAGTTGTGAAATTTAAAATTCCACTCCAAGTTAGTAAATTGTACTTGACTCTGATTAGTAATTTTTGATCTTTGGACAAATCTAAAGAGTAGACACTTTTCTTTTCTCCGGGCTCGATTTTAATCAGTTGTTTCAAACCAACATTTTCGACTTCGAGTGAGTAGGGGAGATAATTATGAAAAATTAACGGTGGCAATAAGTGTATAACGTAATTAGGGACAGTGTGCGCTTGAGAGTTTGATATATCCAAATTTCGAGTCAGCATCACTCGCAGCGAAAAAACTTCCAAGTTTGAATCAGTTCTAGGCCTGCAGTGCAAATTATGGGCGATGTCAAGCTCCGTTGCTAAATCTTTCCACCAAATCCCAGAATCAGAAGTGTAGTGGCCTCTAAAATCCCAGTTGTGAAACTCTAATAAAAAAATAGAAAAATCTAACGCACTCGGCATACGCGGGTTGGATAAAAAGCTTGCAGTGGTAAGCAATATAAAGTGGCACATTGTAATGCTCGTGCGCTTCCAAAACTGCAATCCTCATCGTCGTCTCAAACGGATTGGTAACATCCCCAACTGGCTCTAAATTCAATTGTTGCAAAACTGAGGGTTGGTACAGGACACTCAGCGCAAAACAGGTCTCGTTTTTGATCTTAAAAAATCTGAATTATAGACAGTAAGACAAATAAAGAAATTTTACTTGTAAAGGCGAACTTATAACAACATTTCGGCCTGATTTACTTATCGTATGTCTTGCAGCAAGGTAGTATTTCTGGCCCGGAATGGTCGAGTGTAGTCTCATCAGTTTTTGCCAGGCTCTTTTTGAACAATTTGTTTGAATTGGGGTACAATTCGGAATGTAAACGCGCATAAAATGGGCGTTGATTTTGTCGTAGAGTTGAGGAGTCGTTTCCGCGGGGAATTGAAGACTTGACATTGTCGCAAAGTCGTAATTGTTTTCCAAATCGGCTTTAAATACATCTCCTTGCGTGCTAAAACATGCAATTATGTATTTCTCTTTTTCAAAAATGAGAAAAAGCCACCTGTCTTTATCTTCATTTACGTCTTCCGAAAAATCCGAAACATAATACACGCTTTTACTTGGACTGTTGGGCACTGAATCCTGGTTTTCAAACGTTTTGACACAAACCAAAGCATCTTCCTCGTAGCTTTCCACACTTTTCTTTTCATAGAGTTCAACTTTCGATTGCGGCCCAATGTCGTTAGTTAAATTAATCGTTTTCTTGTTGGTTATAACCGACAGAGTTTTATTCGAGTAGATGGTAAAAAGTTCGTTCATAACTTTGAGAAAAGTCGGGGTTATTGTCAAATTTAACACTTCCTTTGCATCGATTAGGACATAAGTCGATTTCGTGTAACTCGCAAATTGACAAATTTTATCGTCTTGCGATTTTCTTTTGACATTATCATCAGAATCGTCTTCGTTGTCACTAGAGTGAATATAATCACTGTCTTCACTCTCATTCCAATCACCAGTGAATAAATCGGAAATCGCAGCGGCTAGTTTTTCCATGGCTCCATCTTCGTTTTCCGAATCTGAATCGTCGAGAAAAGTGGAAAGACTTGTCTTGACTCTTCTGTTATTGCGATTGTGGAGCGGATTGATCGGTTCAAGATACATCATATCTTCACCCGAATCTTCATCTTCGGTTGTGGTGGGAGTGCTTTTCTTCTCGCGAGTGATATTCCTCGACTTTTGGTCGAGACTGCTCAGCATTGGTAACGATTTGTCTTGGAAGATTTTTACAAGGACGTCCCACGGCCTGTACTCTTTCTCATCTATGACAACAGGATCGATCACAGGCTCCCAAACTTGCAAATTCTCATTGAAATAATTAGCCTGGATTGTGACTTCACAAGTACAGTTGAGGAGCGAAGACCAGTCGTAGACCGTCACTTCCATTGTTGATTTCACAAGAAGCACTTGCGTCTCTTCTAGTTCGAAAATGAGCACAATGTCAAATTTGGGGACTAGAAGAATCTCATGCAACTCGACTTCTTTTGCCACTAGTTTATTATCAAGACTTGAATCGAGTTTTGGTTGGGCGAAATCGTCCATTTTTTTGGACTCCCACAAGTCCTCCTCGGCTTTATTATTAAATTCTCGGGAGTCAAGCTCAGGCACTTTGAAATGTTCAGAAATATCGTTCAAAATATCGGTTAGGGAGTGAACAACGCGGCTACAAATCTGCACATAGATTGATGAGACCGACGCGATGATTTTTTTGCCTTTCTCTTCGGAATAACATTTAGAAAATTCAACGTCACACTGTTTCAGTATGACGTAAGGTTCGTTCGATTGCACACCAATGTCGTAAAACAAAGAGTGCAATCCTGATAAAGACACGACGAGGTTTAACCGATTTCCGTGTCTGGAATAATCGGATAAAATTTCGGTGTGAGTGATGAAATAGCGTTTTTTGTTTGACGTCGTTTCTACAACGAATATAAATTCCGGTTTGTTAATCCTAAGTGAAATTGTAAGACTAGCAGTGTATTCTTTCTCCTCATGAGTGTCACACTCGTAGCCATGATTCACAATCCCAATATCAGAATTGTCTTTTGGAAGGCACTCGAGTACAAAAAGGGCCAGTTTTTCGCAAAAAGGGACCGATAAACTCAAACTCAACCTTCCAATGATCGCATCAGCGGAATTATCACCCGATTTGGTCTGATGGAAAGTGATATCAACAATCGGGGCGCGATTTATCGTAATATTACAGTTATTATTCTTGTTATCATCAATGGGCGATTGAAGGATCCTCTTATCATAAATGTTCGCATCGGGTCCGATCTCTTCAATCAAAATCTCGTCAGCTGATAATTTACCATCAAGACTCCCATCAGTATAAATCGTAAAAGTTGCGTTAACTTCTGCGACTTTAAATTTACACAAGCCGTGATTCAAATCACGAATTGGCGAACTTAGCAACTCTCCCGAGTCGAAAAATAACAACAAAGTGATTTCGTCGAGTGAAAATTTGGCAACAATATTTTTCTGTTTAGGTTCGCAGAAAAACGCTTCGAGTGTTTTCACAGTTTCGTCAGTCGTGATTGAAGTTAGGGGCGATTTGATTTGGACGGGGAAAAGATCGACGATTTTGCCCTCACCAATGTTGTCTTTATAGATTGATAAAATCGTCGAAATGTCTCTTTGGCCTAGAGTGATCTGAATCGGGTCTAGAGCCCCATCGATGTCCCATAATTTCTGCGCACTTTTGATATTCGTGTAGCGTTTGATGTCAAAGTTGAGGTTTATTGGTTCAATTAGGGTTTCTTGCATTTCAAGGGATGGTACGAGGGTCATTACGCCCCGAGTGATGGTGGTTCCGGTCCATTTGATCAAAATATTCTCCATGGTGTCGTTGTTATACTCCTTGAAGAAGTTCTCAACGTGGAGTTCGCCAGTGTCGATTATCATAACATTGGGGGATGAAGATTTCTGGGGGAAGAGCAGAATCGGGCCACAAACATTTATCGCAAGATGGATTTTTGTGTTGGCTTTTAAGGTGTCAGTGACTGTGGTTACAGCATTGTAGAGGTATTCCACTATATTGTTAATGTACGGGACGGCTTCCAAGTTTGTGATAAATCGCTGGATTTGAACTATCAATTTGTACAAGAGAGTTAAATGGATTTGTCCTAGTTGAAACTTGAAACTACCACCAGTGGTCATTTCATCCCTGTGTGTAATGTCATTTTGGTTAATATGAGAGGCATGACGGACATATTTCAGTTCGAAAACTTTATCTTCATCCGTGGAGAGTACCTTGAACAAATTTTAACCTACCAGAATCCAAGACTCTAACAACTTACTTTACTATAAAGTGTAACTTCTGACAAATGCTCTACGTTAATGTTACTCAAATATGATCTAAACACAAATCGTTCATTGGCCCTGAATAGAAAATCCATTTCCAGTCCTGATAACTGTATATTGATGATATCAAAATCAGAATCACAAACTCTGATATTGACATCTGCAAATCTTGCCGAATGAGAGAATTTGACGGATCCTGGAGGAACCGGAGTCACTGGTTGTTGATGCAAAATATTATTTAACAATTTAAAAGACTTCAAAGCGGCGTCACGAATCAATAACGGTGTTTGGAGTTTAAGTCTAAAAGATATATAAAGTACTAGGGCTAGTTTTTGTGAAACTTACTTATTGAATAAATAATTTGAGTATTTGACAAGAGTATGAATCGCTTCTTGGTGGAGTAACAAATGGATGGTCCCGAAATCGGCCACTAGTGAGGTTTCAACACCGTGAAAGTGACTCCAAAAGTCGGGACAACTCGCACTTACTTTTCTGTATAGTATTGTAATAACGTCAACAGTACTAGGAAATGGACTATGGACTAAATCTAAATATTGTCCACTGGGAGTTGTGTGTAATTTATCCGTCAATAAAATACTATTGACTGAGATTTGGTAAGCTGGTCCGTAAGTCATTAGAGCCACATCTGTGGTTAGAAGTCCGAGACGGAACATTAGGTACTGTCGATCGGTACTATCGCTTGATCTTGAGAATACGAGAGTGAACTACAATTAGTAATTAGAGTTGGGATAGAGATTTTGTTACATTACTTCGCTAATGATGAATCGGAGGAGGACTGTTATATTATTATTGGGGGAAATATTGTCTTCTAATCCCGGTAAATCGACATACCGGGCCCACGCTTCATTCATGTCTTCTTTCTTAACATTATCGGCAGACTTCCTGTGAAATTATAATGACAGATTGTCCAGAAAACTGTTGATTCTTACTCGATTTTGTTTTGTTGGTTCTTGTCCACTTTTCCTCTTTTAATTTTGATGAAGTTGTCCTTGATGGAAACTAGCGACTCGACATTGGATAAATATTTGAGATTGTAGCTTTGGATGATTGTGTGTTCGTAAAAATCAATTTTCGTTGTCCGCTTTGGCTTCTCTCTCTCTAAGTAATTTCCATTATTGGTGAAAAACTTGAGGATTTGGCCACTCTTGCGTTCTGATAAGTTCAGTTTAAGACTGTGGAAATTGATGTTGAATTTGTATTTCGGAATGGTTTTTTCGATTCGGGTACAACAAGCGTACATTGCGGAGAAAGCCGTTTTGGGTATTATGTGCAAATCGGTGTCTTTTTCCTTCCTTTCGTCTCTCCAATTGTCTGAATTTTGACAAAATAGAATTTGCATGTCGGTGCATTCGAAGTGGTATTTCGAGTAGAGTTGTTCTTCCATTTCCATTTGGGTGGCGTTATCTACCAAGTCGGTGTTTTGGTAAAGTTCAGTTGTAATTAAATAACGGCCTAAGTCTACCACTAAAATATTATCCGCTCTGAAATGAAACGATAAGTTTGTTTAGTAAAAAATGAAACGTACTTTAGAAAAGAACCGAATTCGGGTATCACGATGAAGGGGACTTTTATATTAAGGGTCAAGTCCCATTTTTCCTGCAATTTTTTGTCGAAAAAACTGCGTATTGTCTGAGGACAGTCATTCATTTGGTTAAAAAGGGACGTTTGAGAGAAAAATTCATTATTTAGCCACGTTGAAAGGTCGTCGAAAAATTGCTAAAGCAAACGATGTTTTATTTGTGACAACCAAATCAGTCACTTACTTGGTTATACAAACATTCAACTGAGTCTAAAGCTAGATTCAATTTGTGTGAACAATTTGAATTAGTCGGCATTTTCTCTAACTCTGCTTTAAAAAAATACGCCGGACTTGTACTAAGATGCTCTGAGGCCAGGATCGAAATTAATTGTTCGTCTTCATTTGACCCTTCTAAAATCAAACCTTCGATTTTCACAAGTGCCTTGAAAGTGTCTTCTAATAGATTCGGATGGAAATTGAAATTTGTCTGAGTTAGAGTCAGTAGAAAAATTTCCTTGGAATTGTGAGTCAGCGACAAGCTAAAATTACCCATTCGTAGATTATACTGTTGATCTACAATTCTTATTATGATTTTTTTCTGAAAAAATACCCATCATTTACCTATCTGTAACTGATCACAGTTTTTATCATAGAATCCAATTTTTTTACATAACAAAGTACGTTCAGGCGAAGGCAACATTGACCAAAAATTTTTTTCGCTTAAACTACGCGATTGCACCTAAAACTTCATTTCAGTAAAAATTGTCTTTAGAAAAATAGTACTACCAAAAGTCGTGCATGTTGTCTCGCTATCACAACATTAATAACAGATAAATTATCTTCGTATTTTTGCAAATCTAACTTCAATTCGGTATCGTTAGGATTCAAAATAATCTGCTTGTAAGTTTGCACATATCCGCGGTAATAATCTCTAACATTTTTAATTTTTTTCCAAGAATAAGGACGAATTCTTTGGTCTAAAACAGCAAAATAGGCGTATTTCCACCAAGCTTTTGTATTGTCTAAAATTTTTTCGTGCGGACGTGAGGGCAAAAAATCCCAACTGATTAAAATGCGTTTCAAGGAGTCGTTTACTGCCAAAATTGATTCGTATTGTTTTTTGGAAATTTGCAAGTTGCAGTCTTGTACTATCACATCAATTAAACATTTGACGATATTACCAATATTTGACTTGTTCATCGTTATTTTTATTTTGGTTGTCATTGGCTTCAATACTGAAATTTTGAAACTCCATTAAATTGTCACACTATTGCGAGTAACACAAACCAAACTCAAAATTCTCATTGTTGATTGAAAAATTTTGCAAACTGTTTGACATGGCGTTCCTCCAAACGTAATACTCCGAGGGTAAATTCCATTTTGCTAGTTTAGAGTCGGAATTCCAGTATGCAGACAACGTTTCCATCTTCACTAGGTAATAGCACGTGTTACTATTATTCTCGGGTTTGCTAGGCTTCCATTTACTGAAAATTGGTCATCAAACCTTGCCACAAACCTAGCCTAGGTGCAAACCTATTTGTAGCTTCCGCAGTAACACTTCCAATGCATAGACCAGCCGAAATCGGCGTTTTGTAACTGACGACATCCTCGTATCTGATGTGGATATTAGTGACACTAAATTGCAAACAGTTCAGAAGATTTGTAACTAAGTGTTCTGAAAAGGAGTTGGGGCCGCCAATAATGTGACTTTCGGTGTCTAAATCTGCCAAAATTTTGCGTTTAAATCCTCGAATTAGCCGTTTGTTTTTTTCGGCATCGAAGGGTTCGTCTGATAGCAAAGGACCACAAATAATGTGCAAATCTTCGATGTTGACTACAACTGGTTGGTTCCACAGACACGTCCAAGGTATTTGAAGCCATATTCTTCCCACAGTTCCGGCTTTGACTTCGATTGGAAGACCCAACTCGTACTAAAAATTCACAACTTAAAAAAAAATGTAAAGTAAAGAGACATACCAAGGCTTCAGTTTTTAATTTTAAATCAGTCAACTGCACATGTCCTGAAAATATTCCAACGTTCAGATTTTCAGTGTCAAGGTCCACCACATATTTGCCCAATAAATGATTCAGGAGTCTTGCTACGGCCCCTTCGAGCATCCTGGAACTAGGTTAATGTTTTATTGTCGCTTCTTTTTCAACACTTACTTGTCAAGATGTATGTGTTTAAATCATATCTGGGCAAACTATTGATTTAAGTTGATATTTAATGTCAGAATGGTTTGGTTTAGGAGTTGCTGAAAGCAACTCTTACGTCAGCTTGGCACCCACTTTTAAATCGATATCTTTGTGACGGCCGTGTTTTGGGGTTGGAAAGTGCAGAGCACATATTTCGCGTCGGTTCGACAAAATTGATTTTGTGGATGAGGGTTTTTATATCGAGGGCATGGAATTAAAGCACAGATTTTCGATAATCATTAAACTAGGCCAGAAAATGCGTTTTTTTTTTTGGTGGATGCGCCGGGCTATAAATTTCTATTTTCACATTTTATTGATTATTTTCCGTTTTCTGAAATTAAAATTTGAAGTGTTTCTGTTTATTGAGATACCAATTTTCAAAATTTGTTAGTTAATTCAATGTTCATGATTTCATCTTACAATTGTCTTTCAATATACAGTGAGCGGAAAAATCATGGAATAATCTTTTTTATTAAAACTGAAAATATTTTGTTTTGGCAAAAATGCTCGAACAGGTCAATTTTCTTTTCAAAAAAATACAAAATTCTCAACTTGATTTAAAATTGTGTATGTTTTTTGTTGATGTTATTTCACTTTTTGGATGATTTGTTCTTTCGAAAACTTTCTGTAATATTTAATATTTTGGTGTTGTTATTTCGACTATTAAAAGATTTATCGAATTGGCTAAAACAATTAGGGCTTTCCATTTAAAAAAATGTCGATGACGTTATTATTCAAAAACCGAAAGGTGTAAAATTTTAAATCAAGTTAAAAATTGTGTATTTTTTAAAAAGAAAATTGACCTCTGCGCATTTTTGCCAAAACAAAATATTCTCAGTTTAAATAAATATGATTTGTCTTCTCACTGTATATTGAAAGACAGTTAAGAGAAAATTGTTTAGTTTTTTAGTTTAGTTAGTTTCATCTTGTTTTTTTCAACTTTCAGCTTTTTTTAGTATACACGCTGTTTCAGAACTCGCGCCCCAGAGAAAAATTCCAAGTAAGATAAGATACAAGGAACATGGAAAAAAAATTATGTCTTAAAATTTTAACATTTATTTTTTGACTTTTTTGATGTCTATTTAATGTTACTGATGATCTTGTCTAGGTTTTTTCATAATTATTTAGTAAAGGTACAAGAACTTTGCCAATAAAAGCCAAAAATAACGTTAAACTACAAAAATATTTAAAATTATTTTTCCAACTAAAATAAATAGGGTCAAAGTGATTTTTTTTTCCTTGTTCCTGCTGTCTTTTCTTACTTGACTTTTTCTCTGTGGCGCGAGTTTTGAAACACCCTGTATTATTACTTTATAAATATTTGACTAGGTTTTTTTAATCTACTACAGAAACGTAGACGAATCATCCTCTAGATCTCAAAGTGTATCTCAACGATTTCCATCATTGAGATTCTTAATTTTAAGATTTTAGTTTTTTTAGTTTTTTTTTTTTTTAGTTTTTAGTTTTTTAGTTAGTTTAATTTTTTTTTAATTGCCATCTTTTTTTTCTATTGTATTATTTTTTTTATTATTTAGCTTGTTTTGTTTTTTCGTATTGTTCTCACACATAATGACGAAATTTTGAATAAATTGTTCGATATTATCCCCTTTATTTTTGTGAAATTCATAATAATCAGAACACTGCAGCTTCAAATATTTTGGTGTTTGTATAATTAAATAAAAGACTTGTTTGTAAGGGCTTTTTATTACACTTAATTAAAAAAATTAAACCTACAAAAATTTGGTTTTCCAAAATATATAACACAGATCACATATATACAGCTATCATCTACAAAGCAATATAAAAAGTTAAGTTTATAAAATAGATGAGTAAATTATCTAAAGTACTTTGTACCAAAACGTAATTCTAATTAGACACAACATAATGCATTATTTAATTACAAAAAACTGTAATTACATCTGGCAGTATCTACGACAAATAAATACACACACTACTGTTATATTTACATAAAAATACTTGAACTTTTTTAGAAATTACGTATTGTCATGGCTACAACGTACAGCCGGAAGTAAACACTTTCTATGCAAGTAATTTTCACACTACTTGTTTATATAATACAGATTTAAGTACGACGCCATTTGAGAATTTTTTCATGATAACGACGTTAAGTATTTGATACACACGTCATTCGATAAAATACGACGTAATTAGGAACGTGATAAGCTAACTATTATTGTTCATTCTTTTGATCTCACTTGCCTCTTCTTCAAGAGTATCCTTCAAGGGCTTACTCCCAGTCTCGGGCAAGAATAAAACACAAGCACCACCGATTATCCCACAAGCTGCTAGAATTGACATTGGGACACTTGGATGGACATTAGCCTAAATAAAGAACAGTCAAATAAAGAAATTAAAGCGGAATTAAATACCATCTCCCATAAGTATGGTACTAGCATTAAGGCAATTCCTGCTGATACGTTACTAGCCCCAACTCCAATATTCCTGATGATAGTTGGATATAATTCAGCTGTGAAAACAGGAATTATCGCATTTGATGAACTTATACTAAAGCGGCTCATCATAGCTAAAGTGGTTATAACCCATTGAAGGTTATCTGAAGCTAGGCCAATAGGGATGGTGCAACCACACGCTGCTCCTGACAAGATCATAGTCAGGGCTAGGGGCCACCTGCGCCCCCCTTTTAGCAAGATTAGGATGCTAAGAGCCACTGCAGGAATTTCGACAGAGCCTGACAAAATCTGCAAAAAGTGGTTATTTGTGTTTTTTTTCAAGTAAGTGACTTACTGAATTAATATATAAGTCTCCTCCAATGTTTCCAAGATTGAGTACTAGTCCATAGTAGACCAGATAAACACTGAACCATATCACAAATAATAAGAGTGTCTTTTTACGCATTTGTCTCGTTTTGAACAAATCCATGACGCTAACGGATTCAGTTTCAGAGTCACTGTCGCATGGCAAAAGTTGTTTATCTATGTTTATCGGAAGTTCTTTTTTGTTCCAATTTGATGCTTTTTGCAGAATTGCCATAACTTCGTTCGTGCGCCCCATGGCGAGCAACCATCTTGGTGATTCCGGAAGGACCCACCTAAAAATCTCATTCAGACCCAACTTTTTTCAAAGCTTTTTCTACCAAAGGATCAAAAAAACGAATCCTGGAAGCGAAATCGCCAGTTGCAACTCCCGCCAATCCCTTAACAAATACCCCATTCCCGCAATGGTGATGTAGCTCAAAGAAACCGGAAACAGGTATGATATCCCAGCTACAGTTCTCCAGTTTCCTCCGACCAGCTCGATTGATAAAACGAATCCACTGAATACGACGGAAACTGAGATAAAACCCAAGGCCGCGCGCAGGATGAAATACATTTCGAACCAGGGAGCAAAAGCGATGACGACTCCTGGAAACGAGAGTGAGATGAGAAAGCTTGAAGGGGGAGTTACCGAGGATGGTTTGGAGGAGTACGGAAGCCATGAGGGTTTTTTTTCGCCCATATTTGTCGGAGAGGATGCCGCAGACCAAGCCGCCGATTGCGACGCCGCCGAGGAACATCATTTCGGCGATGTTGTTGAGGGTCTTGCGGTCGCAGACGAGGTCGAATTCGGAAGTCAGGGTGCTGCCTACGCAAGGAATTAACACATGTTTTAAACATGAATAATCATTTATGACAAGGTTTCGATTTTGAGTTTAAAAAAAACCTAAAATCTATTGTTTTTTGTCTCTTGGGGATAACTATTTCTCGAGACTTTTCTTTGCTTCACATATTCTTTTTTTTACACAGAAATCAAATGATTGTGATTTATTTCACTCCAAAAAAACATCCGAGGTTAAGGAGGTATGAGTTCTGAATTTTTTGATCTTATTAATTCATCAAATTTTAAAATGATTTTATTGTCTTTTCCTTTTTTTATTTGCATTTCAACATTTTTTATAATAACAATATTTGTTTGATAACTGACAAAACTGTGGGCTTTTGCCTGTGTTAGTTTTTCTCAACTTTAGAACACTTCCTTCTATAGGAACGACGAGTCGTCTCATTTTTTTTATCTTAATCTTTTCTTAGATAATAATTATTATCTAAAATTTAAATTACATAAGTAACTTATAACTTATATATGATCTTTTAAATAATTTAAATCTCCCATAATTGGCTGAAATAAGGAAATTCACACCTAAAACGATGATTTTTGGCCTGATTTGACAAAATCTTGTAAATTAAATGAGTTTCTGACCCAAAAACAATATAAATCGCTTGGAATTAGCTGAAATAGCGTAATTTACACCTAAAACGACGATTTTCTAACCTGTTTCAACAAAATTAGGTGAGTTTCGGGCTTAAAAACGATCTAAATCCTTCTGAATCGGCTGAATTGTTTCTCTTTGAAGTGACTTTTTAGTTTTTTTATTATTTGTTTTTAAAAGTAATGTTTTTAGTTTATAAAATTTAAAGTCGTAAATGTCTCTTTTTTAATATTAAGTAACTGCGCACTTATGTGGAATAATAATTTTATTACTAGAAAGTGAGTACTTTTGTCCAATTTTATTTTATTAAATCTTGTTGGATTTCGTCTTTTAAACTTTTAATTTTAGTATTTTATCACATTTTTTGTATAATAATAATTATTTGAATTAATACAAACTGGACTGTTTTGCTCAATTTTTTTTACATAACGATACTTCAGAATTGGTTGAAATAGCGTAATTCAGACCTAACTTGACGATTCTCAGTTGAAAGGTTAAGCGAGTTTCTCCCTAAAAAAAAAACGATCTATATCGCACAGAATTGTGTGAAAGACGATTTTCTGAACTATTTCGGCGGATTCAAAATGACCTTAACCTTTCTGAATCTCTTGGAAGCTACTTTTTAGTTTTTTAATTGTTTCTTTTAATCATTCGTATTTTTAGTTAAAATTTTAAGTCGTTGTTGTGGCTTTTTACCGATTTTATTTTAAATTTCACAAAAATACTTATTTATAGAAATTAAATTAGCTTAAACTTTGATGTTCTACCATCAAAATAATAAGTTTTATCTAAAATTTTAAATTTAACATTTTTTCTCTTGACGTAGTCAGAAAATGCCATTAAATTACTGACTACGAAAATTAAATCGTATTATT